CGGGCACTATCTTCTGTTGCAGTAGATCAGATACATTTTTAAGCGTTATACAGCCACCTTCAGCATCAGATTTAATATCTGACTGTGTATCCATCTGGACAGAGAGCAGAGACTCCTTCCCCGCTTTATTTAACAAAAAAGCGTCTTTCTTACTGCTAAGCATTTCAACAGATTCTAGTAATCCCGCTGCCGGTTCTCCCTTTGTATCAGGCTGGAAAAGGTTTACATCTTCTTTGAAGTGCCTTTTGCTACTGCCCCCTCCTCCTCCCTGGGCTTCAGATCTGCATTCTTTTCTTTCGAGAGGCCTACCTGCATTTAAAGGGGACATCGCAGACTCATTCCTCTCATTCACATCTGTATTTCTAGAACACAAAGTTCCATTTTCTGCATGCCTACACAGACCTGTGTAGTCCTTCAGTTTTGAATTAATTTGAGTATTACCATCAAACAACTCAATCAACAGTTTACCATCAGATTCCTTTGCTACTACTACTGCTTTTAATTGCCTTTCTAATACGGCTTGCTTAAACCATGTTGTAGCTTCTTTGGGAAGATTTGATATATCAGATAAGGAACACTTTATGGCCTGCATTGGCAAAAGCAAGATATCACAAGCATCACTGGGTAAAGGAAGCAGATGATCTTTCTCTACTGTCTCTGTGTTCCCAAAATCCACAAAGAAGACTTCCGTATTTGGTTTTCTTTTCATAATTACTCCCCTGTACCAGTGATTGTCAGTATACTTTGCTAGACACAAGCTCCCAGACTTCTGCAAGGTTTTTAAGCTGGTCATTGTTTCACTTAGACGATGAATGTTATCTGTAAGCTGTGCCAAGACATCTGCACATCTTTCAAGCTGGCAGTAAAATGTCCATGGATCCTCCACATGTGTAACATAAACATCTTCCTCACTCCCAATTTTGATACCATGCATAGAATAATAGTAAGAATGAAGCTGAACTGAAGATATCAGAGGCTTCTGAGGAGAAAGAGGTCTGGCCACACCTCTCTCAATCAGAAACTGGCAAGCACTCTGAAAAGGTGTCATTAAATCTACAATGTTAAATAGCTCCTTATTTTTTATCAAAGCCAAGGCAAATATTGTACACTTCAGCTCAAAGTGAGATGACGAATTATCAACAAATTCCTGAAAAACCCGAATCGCTTCTTCATTCCAAGCAAAAGGATCCTGACCATTTGGTTGGATTAAGTTATAAAGGCTGCACCTGAAAGCCTGAGTCTCTAAACTAAGAAAGCGTTCATTAGTTGAGCGGAGGTTTGTGAGAGAGACCAGTTCTCTGTTGCCATAGTCAACATACATAACTTCTACTTTTTCTGCAGAAGGAACTTCACTGATAATTAAAGCCCTGTACCATTTTTCATCCTCTGAGTACTGGGCTAAACATACAGAATTTGGCCAAGCACATGGGGGGGATGAATTTTTACAATACTCTTGAATTTCAGCCATTAATACCTTAAGGTCATGGCAATTTCTACTTAACTGACACCAAAAATAACTAGGACTTTCAACATATGACACAACCACATTAACTGTACTTCCCACTTCTAATTGACCTCCGTAAGAGTAACTTGGCTTTATTTCCACATAATTCTGTCTCCAAGAGATGGGCAGGTCTTCCTTGCCCTCATACTTCTGAATAGGAAGAGATTCACTACTTTTAGAATTGTGAATAGCTGCAGCTGCGTGCTCTCTGACCATCACAGCTGTGTAAGGATTAAGTGCTCTATCACTACTTTTTAGACCAGATTCTTCTCCGAGCCTTTTCTCTGCATTTATTTGTTTTTCCTCACCAGCACATGCTGGAGAAGACACTTGGCTCACCACCTTATCAGCTGATTTCCGGAGAGTCTCAGGTATTTCACACCTCTGGTATTCAGCATACCCTCCCTGGGCCATGAGCTTACCTACATTTTTCTCTCCTAATTGCGATTGGTCAAAAATTTCAACCATGTATTTGTCACCCTGTGCACTCAAAAAATGAACCTTTAGTCCCTTGTTCAGTACAATAACTCTGAATGCAGACACAGACGCTTCACTCCAACCCCCTCTCATAGGAGAGAGACCTGCCAAACAACATTTCAGAGCTAAAGCAGGTAGTTCCCTGAAATGAGGGAGCAGCTCCTTTACCGCACACCGATCTACAGTTTCCGTATTGCCTCTGTCCACCAGGTGTATTTCTACCCCACTGTCCAGTACCCTGGTGATCACCGCTCGATAAAAGATACCCTCTTTCCTACTGGCACAAAAGGATCCAGGCTGTAAGTCCCACCCAGCACCATCCAGCTTTGTGGCATGGGAGTAAAAATTCCACATGCTCTGACTCAGCTGCCTGAAGAGCTGGCGATGTTCATGGAGCTGCAGCCAGAACTCGGATGGGTCTCGGAGGTAGGAAACCTGCACATCGTAGAACACCCCCAACTCCAGACGCACACCAGCTACAGGAGCAGGGGCCAAATCTCTGTGAGTTAAAGCAACAGGCGGTGCTCCTGGTGGGAATTCCAGTTCTTCAGCTGTGGAATCTTCTACTTCCAGCTGCTCCTGAGCTTCAGTTTGGCTGACGTGCATATGGCTGCTCACCAGGCAGCAAGCCCGCACCCCAAAGAGATGGTTCAAGTTGACTCCAGTTTCCCCATACAGGCTCACATAATAGAGATGCTCGAAGGAGTTAAAGGCTTTGATGCAAGCACTCACTCCTTTGCCTAGCACCAACGCTTTCAGCTCATTGATCTGTGATGGGGACCAGCCACAGCCCTGATCTGAGATACCTTGAAGAGCACATGGGTAAGTCACCACAGGCATACGAAAACACTCAACAGGCAAATGGCGCAGGTTAGCTCTGGTCACAGTCTCCTTCCTGCCATAGTCCACAAAGATCACTAGAGCCGCTTGCCGGTCCTGCTCCCCAGCAATGAGCTCCAGCAGAACCGCACGGTACCACTGGCCATCTATGCCACGGGCAGCACAGGGGGAGCCCACTTTGGGTAATAAATCTTGTTCCCACCAGTCATAAGCATGGCACATGGTATCAGAAAGGCAACGGATCTCCTGGGACAGGCTCTGCAACTGGCAGTAGATGTGGTGTGGGTCAGAGACATGGGTCACTAGGACAGGCTCCGTCACACCCAACTGAAGCCGCGGGTAGAAGTAATCAAACTGTGTCACCTGTTTTGGATACGAGAGCAAAACATGGAGAAGCTGTGGCACTTCAGAAGTTACAGGGGAACACGCTGGAGGATGCAGCTTGAGCTGGTTCCTGAAGTGGCCGTAAGTTAAGCAGCGCCTGAGCACCTGGCAGAACGAACTGGGGGTGACCCGCCTGGCCAGGCCCAGGTGATGCATCTGGGCCACGAGCTGCGGCACCTCGAGCACTATGAGCTGCGGCGTCACCACCTTCTGTACCAAGCCAGACACCTCCTTGCCGTGCAGATGGCTGAGGAACTCCATCGCCTCCACCGTCCAGATAGAGGCCGCGGCATCCCCACCGGCCGCCACCCTGTGCCCTCCGGAAGGCGTGAGATCAGCCACGATGCAGCCCAGCACCTCCGGGGCCAGGCGGAAAAGCTCCTTGCAGCCCCGCGCCAGGTAGCCGGCGGATGTGACCACCGTGCTGCCCTCGTCGAGCAGGAAGACACGGTAGTCCTGGCCGCGGCGACTGACGACGCAGCAGCGGTACCACCGCCCGAGCACCTCCACCAGCGCCATGTCTCCGGTGCACAGCTCGGCTCCACCGGCCGCCAGGCGCGGCCCCGCCGCCGCCTGGATCTCACGGCGGAGGCGGTTGTGGTCGGCGCTGCGCTCGCCCAGCAGCCCCCACAGCCGCACGACGGGCACCTCGGGGCGCAGGCCCACCGCGCACACCCGCAGGGCCACAGCGGCCCCCGGTCCGCAGCTCATCCCGCCGCCGCCCTCACCGCCGGCACGAGGCACAAACGGCCGACGGCCCCCACCCCGCCGCCTCATAGGGCACACGCCGCCCACGTGACCCGCAGGATGCGCGGCCGCCCGGGTGGCCGAGTCCATTTTGATCCCGCAGGGGGGTGGGCGGGGCAGAGGGAAAGGGGGAACATAAGCGGTGAAGGGGGATAATACGTCGGGCCGCTCCTGCTAAACCGAGATGTACTGTGAGGCAGCACAAAGAGGAGGGTTACCTCCGGGGCACTCTGGGGCCGCAGGGCTCAGCCCAGTGCCCGTCGGAGCTTCCCTCGCCCGGAGTGGAGCGCTCCGCGCCCGCGGTGCGGCCGAGGAACGGCAGGGGTGGGGTGAGGGGAGTGGGGGCGGGGAGATCCCTCCGAGGGCGAGCCTCCATTGGCCAGAGCGGGCACCCGGGGCGGGGCGTGCACGCTGGGCTCGGCGCCTATTGGCCACCGAGGGGCGGGAGCGTGAGGGCGGGGAGGGGCGGGGCGCCGGGAGGGTGACACGGGGCTGAGGGACAGCGGCGCGCGGGGCCGCCCTGCTTGTGGACGGGGCAGGCGACAGGCAGCCGCCGCTCCTCAGGGCCTTGGGAGGTGGCAAACGTGGCTGCTCTGCTTGGTGGCCCCCTTCAGGTAGCCCGGACTGTCACACTTTCTCCATTTAGTCTCTTCAGCTCTTCAAGCGTGTCATTTCTCCCTGGTTTCGCACCCCTTTTCCCCGGCAGACCACTGAGGTTTCGACGAGACTGTCTTCCAGCCTTTAAGGGCCATGGTCAGAAGTGGAGCTGTGAGGAACACCCAGGACTTCACCAAGTCTTTCTTAGGCCGCAGGAGAGTCCAGCCCAGAAGCCTAAGTGCCGTCCTCAAGCTAAATCTTGGCTTCTGAAACTGAAGCTGGTAAGTAAATAAATATGGCCAAGTGCTTCACGGGGTAGAAACTTCTGCTTGAAAAATTTGGAGTTACATTGGAAAAATTTGGAAAAACACTAAGAAGTAATGCAGAAAGTAGCAAGTTTTGCTATTCAAATTATTTTTTTAATACAAAATACTTGGAATCAGCACTGTTATGCATCTCTTTAGTGCCTCACACTCTTTTAAAAAAGAGCTTTATTAAGAGTTAAAACAGTTTTCCACTACAAGACTTTTAAAATTACTCTTTTTAATGCAATAGATCAGCTACTTCTGCATATCCATCATCAGGGTTAGCTGAGTAATGGGATTGCAGGCAGGACCACTCAGGATGTAACTGAAGCGGAGGCTTTGCTGTTTTATAATCACTCGTGATGGTGTGCAAGAAGGAAAGAACTCAGCTTAGTTTCTCAGAATCACAACTAGAAAAATAACGGTATTTCTGAAAAAAACTTCTGAACCTCTAATAATAGATGATTTTTTTCCAAGCCAGAATCACACACCCAAATGCATGTGGCTATAACAGATTTACAATACAATCAAAAAGTGCAAGTGCAAGCCAAGAGCATGCCCAAACTCTTTAGTCAGAAATTGACACATTGAAAATACTAGTTGCAATGACTCGTATAGAAGAAATCCTGAGTATTTACTCAGAGAGCTAAGTCTTGTACAGTCATTTAATTACTAGATATTGTTAAAACAAAGCCAGCTTTGTTCTATCTCCATTATGATTGCTTTTATACTGCATTTTTTTTGTCTCCAGATTGCCAAAGATAAGCCTAGTGACAAACAGCAGTAGTCCCCTTCCCTATGAAATTTGGGAAGCTCTAGGTTTAAAAAAAACCAAACAAACAAACAAACAATTGCTCCTATTCAAACATTTTGTGGTTTGGAAGAGAACGTTTTATTTCCACCTAGATTTAAAATGGGCAGTGTATGTATTTCCATGGAAAAGTGGTACCTTAATGACCCAGGCTGCCAGCTAGCACTGGGACTCCCACGGGACAAGTAGTTCAACTTGGTCTTATGGACAGCATGTGTGTTGTGAGTCCTTCAAGAGGGGCAGAGCAAACTAGGCTTCTGATTTCCTGGGGAGTGCATTTCACTTGTGGATGTTACGCAAATGGTTGAGTGAAGAGGTCAGACTGTCTGGGAAGTAAGAGGAACACAAACTCTTCCACCTTTTGTGCAAAGCAAGTTTGAAAACAGGTAAACTGCGTTAATTTTTTTTTTTTTTTTTTCAGTTCCTAGCACTACAGGCTTGGTTTAGTGAGGCATCAAAGTAGTAAGAGGTAGTTCTTTATGTGTGTGCAAATGTAATAGCAACAAAAAATCCCAAATAATTTTATAGACTGCTTATCCACAGAAGATCTTCAGTGCTGCGTTGTTCAACCTGCTCTTGACCTTAACAGGAACCATCTCTATTATCAAACAGGCAAATAGTATTATATTCTACTTGCTTGATAGATTTTTTTTTTTTCCTCTGTTTACTGTTTCAGAAAGCTGATGCTGGCTGTCAGTTGAAGTATTATTGTGGCAATTTTATCCTGTGGATAAATTTCATATAGCAGTCTGACAAGCAAGTAGTACCCTTCAGTCATGGCTGGATTTGAGGCAGCAACCTATACATGTGATCCTACTGCCAGTCTCTTAAATGAATTAGTTCCCTGTGGAGTCGGGAAGCCTTGTGGAATGAGAATTCAGCTTTATGATTGTTCTTTGTTTTATGAATACTGAAGTGATTTTAAAAAGAACTAACTCCACAGATCCTTCTGATTTGCTCATATGTAAGCCAGAATACCAGTGACCAAGGTGCCTGTGAAAGCAAACACTGAAGTTAGAGACTTAAAACAGAAGTGATCCAATAAATAAACCCATTAGATTATACTGTCTCCTCTTAAAAATTGTATTCTTATACTCAATCTTGTATTATGTCTTGCATACAAAAATTGTAGTGTTGCATATGATTAGGACTGCCCTGTCCTTCACAAGAAACCTAAACCTTTTATTTTCAGCTTGCCAACCCATAAATGTTTGACCTGAAATGTTTCATGCTTGGGGGCTACTTCAGGCTGAATGCCATTTTTTTTTTTTTTTTTTTTTTAAGTGTTTACTTGTTCCATAACCTTAATCAGAAAACTGCATGGTTATCCTTGCATAAAATTTATATCCTGCACCCATTTAGTTGAGATGCCATTTTTACTTTTTGGGTTTTTTTTGTTAGAGCAATACATTGGTGTTTGGCAAAAGGCTGCCTTGTGCCTAGAAAATACCTTTTCCAGCTCCTCTGAAACACCCATTAAACGTTCCCAAAATTACAAGCCCTTGGGAAATCTATGTTGGTGCATGCTTTGTGGAAATTGCGAGTAGTAAACTCATAGAGATCTCATTGGTACTGAATGTGCTCTGGCTCAGGGGACTGAGCAGAACCTTCCTCTAATTGGTCTCACCAGAGGCTGCTGGCCACCATTGTGCCCAGTTAAATTAGAGAAGGGGGGGCTTTTGCCTCTGATCATGGCACTCAATCTGGTAATTTAAACAGTGTGAAGACCTTGAAGCCAGCTGGCAGAGTCTAGACATTGTCATACTGTTGAATTCTGACAGATGTAAAAAAAAAAAAAATAATAAAAAAAGGTCACATCTAAATTCGCTATTGGGAATTGTTCCTTGCCCAAACTAACAGCCGAGTTCCAGTTCCCAGGCTGCAACTGCTGCTTGACTTAATTGTACAGATGTGGCTTTACCAACTCAGCAGAATGCAGGAGAAAGCCGCCAGCCTGAATACAGGAGGGGCAAAACTGAGACTGAGGATGGAGGAGTAATAAAGTAATTCTGGGATCAGGAGAGAAGGAGGAATGAAAGTATAAGGGATGCAAAGGGAGTCCAGGGCTGGGAGTAAGAAGGAAACAACGGAGAGTTTGGGGAAGGGAGAAAGGACGGAGCCTGAAATTATAAAAAAAAAAAAATCAAGGAAAATCACTAGCAACTAAACAGGACAGCATTTTCCAAATTAAAGAGGTGTAAGAGACAATGTGGAGGAAGTGACACTGCATGAAGTTGTGTCATCCACTACATTCGATTATGCTAGCTGCAATTAAATTGAGAGACACAAATAGTTTTGAAAAAGTGTTGACACAGAAAGAACTCCTTACATTTTAATGCCACATTGTTCAACTGTCTTGTAAAGAGGGTTAAAAGGCACTCACCATTCGCATCCAGGTTGGTATAAAACCTTTGTATAGAGACATAAACCCTTCACCCTGTACAGTTTGAATCAAGCAGTCCATGGAAGACTTATACAACAGACCTCTAGGAATGTGCAAGGAGAACAAATGGTGTTAGGATTGCAAATATGCAATTTTTAAAAATCCCATCACCCACCCCAAAAAATAACCTGTATCTGATATATTTGTACAAGCAAGAGCACTTTTGTAAGTTCCGTGGAATCTAATCAAAACTGAAATCTGCTGGAGTAACTGGGTATGCTTAGGTGGCCATCACAACAATGGCCACCAGACATTTACTAAATCAGTAAAATGATCATCAAAAGATGAAGAGCAAATCAGAAACTTAGCACGTCACTGCCAGTGAAATCATTAAGACTCAGCGTTTCAATTTTCTACTGAAAAGTCAGTCTCTGAAGTGTCTGTACCTTCTCTGCTTGTCTCTCGGCTGGTTCATTATCCGGGTTTTGACCACGTCAGCAGGAGTTCCCAGAACAGCAGCTACCAGGCCAGAACAGCAACTGTCAACAGCAACAGATATTTAAAGCAGCAACTAAGATTTATCATGACAATATAAGCATCGTGATTCCAGTTCTAATAATATATATTAAAACAGTTATCATAAAATCATGAGTAATACCTCATAACAACATAAACTTGATTTGGGAGGGAGTTTGCTAGTGTTGTTCTGGCTGAGATGTCCTCCCAGCGCCAGCTTCCCTCACCTCTGTGTGCCATTCTGAGGCAGGGATAAAGGACACACAGTAGGGAATTTATGATCTTGTTTATATAAGGCAGATTTCTTCATAATTTAGAAGTGTAAAAGAGGTTGTTCTGCAAACTTTATATTGCTCATTCTTACAGTTTGCTAAAATTAAAACTAGGTCAGATAAAAAAGTAGCAATTCTAGAAAAGTGGAAATTCCTGTGTTGTCACAGATGTGTGAGGTGTTTAAATGCATCAGCAAGGTACTTCTAGTGAGGGCAGTTTTGTAGTAATGGTTGCATCCTTTGTCTTGTGTCTTTTATACAAAGATATCCTCTCAGGCAAAAAAAAAAAAGGAGTTATAAAGGTGCATTTTCATGACCAAAGAATAGGGGCTTCTGCTGGCACGGAGAGGCCGATCAAGGCAGCGAGGCTGGAAATGCCTCACAAAGGAAAAGGGGTAATTGTGGAATACGTCACCTGGCAATACTGTGAGTCACGCTGTTGTCCACAAGTGGTGTGTTCAGAAGCAAAAAGTGTTTCACTGAGTCATAAGTGGTCAGATCTTTAAAGAGGATAATGAGAAAAAACAGCATCGTCAGAAGTAAATGGTGCCTGTGCTGTTCAGTACTGACATAGGATGGAGGCTTGGCGAGACCTAAATTTCCAGTGCAGGTCCTCCCACTGGCACAGCTAGTGCTCTGCACCCAGCTTCTGATGACAGTTGTGGCACCTGGGTCCTGTTGTTAGACATGTGAGTACATGCTCCCTTCTACTACCGTCTCCTCTGAATTACCCCGCAAATGATGAAATGGATCCCAAATGGAAAATTATGCAAAATATCTCATTAACCAAACACAGAAACATCACAATAAGGGCAGCTCTACCTCTCTCACCTTTTTGCAAGTGTTATAAAAATGTTAGAAACATTAGACAAAAAAAATAGATGATGTCATGGAAGTTATATCATGTTCTTGTGAAAGCAAACATGAGTTACGGCGTCTGGGCATATGAATGAAAGACAGTGAAAGTTAATAGCAGATCTGGGTTACATTTCCAGTGTCATGACCTTAAAACTTACGAGCCCAGCCTGCTAACCAGGATGACCATCCCAGGACTTCCTAGTGCTCTGCAGCCCAAACATACCCAGTGGAAACCATTTCCCACTTGTAAAAGAGTTTGCTTGTTTAAGTTTACATGCTGAGACTGCACGTTAACGTTGTGTATGGAGATACATACCTTAGTTAATAATCATTCTATAGCCCTCATTTAACAGCTCCAGCTGCAAACATTATCCAACCAGTGATTACTGCTGCTTAGCAAGGTGTAAGCTTACACCAGCTCTGATTTTCTATCTTCAAGGATATTTTTTGGTCATGCTGTTAACATATCCCAGGGCTGAATGACGTAGAAATTAATAGCCATCGTGCCAAAGAAATTTAAGCATGCAAAATAAAAAAATGCCAAGGCAATGCTAGAATATGTGCCACTAAGCACAGAGCAAGTGTTTATGGTGGGCACCCACAGGCAGTGTCTTTCAGTCCCAAAGACATCTCCCTCCTTACTTTATAAACAGAACCTAAGGTAGGAGAGCACAGACTGTTCAACATGTCCAAGCAGTTTTGGAGAGACACAGAAAAGATCTATTTGTGGAATAGATCCCTCAGGCTCAGGCACAATTATTTTTAAGCAACTTGATTTCCACAGGGATAAAACGCTCAAGGCATAAGTCACTTGCAGTATGGTTCAGACAGGTTGACAGTGTAGGTAGTCAAGAGACAAAGACCAGGGGAGCAGCCTTAAGTGCTGCAGACCAAGTTATCAAATTTACCTCCCATGTTCACCAGGGCAGCTCTCTGAACATTTGGCACCCATCCAGCCCAAAGCCCCCGTATTCCTCCTTCGGACAGGATCTTCATAAATGCATGGTGCACTCCTCGAAACCTGAAATCAATATGCAACTACTAAGTAGAGAACCCAGCTATGGAGAAATCTTTGCTTATTCCAGCACTTTGCTGCACCAGGTCCTCTCATAGGAAAGGCAGTTTGCACCTGCAAGGATCTGGCCCTCCAGATCCATTTTTTGATCCATTTTTGGATCCATCTTTGATTTTCATGCTGTGATATTTTACCAAACATACCAGTTGCCCTGGTAAGCAGCAACCTGGTCACTAATGGCAGATGACCCTTTGATCCCACAGCTGGGTTGCAATGCTACACGTACAATATACCAAAGGCTGTCAGCAGTTTGGGATGCAAAGAGCAGTGTGTCCCGGTATCTGCAGGAGAGTCTCAAGCCCCGCTGCCTGCAGGTGACCCTGTGCCTGTGCCCCCTGCATGAGCCATCTTCCCCCTTCTTTCTTCCAGCTTCCTTTTTTCAGAAAGCATCCTTCCCTCTCCCCGGCAGAGCGCTGGCATGAACATGCTGCACATGTAGGATGGGCAAGGATTTGTGATCTCTGGGACCAATGCATCAGAATAAGGAAGGCGAATATAAATGGAATAAGGAGGAAGTCCCCGATCCCCCACCCTCTTTGCTGCCCTGAGCCATCACGTTCCTCCCAGGCACTGCTCTTTCCCCAGAAGGGTTCGGAGGAACTGGGGAGAGGGAGTGGCAGAAAACAGAGAGAACCACACCCTCTGTCAAAGAGTAATCATTAATGAAAAAACTGCCAGCTTTTAGAGGAACTGACCGTAAGGGCTTTCCTTCTAACTTCCTTTTTCCTTCCATCTGCATCTGCACTTTCACCAGATCAGTTGGGCTAGCAAAAAACTGTCCAATGGCACCCGCAGACATACCTCCAACTACAGCTTTCCTGCCAAACAGAGAAAAAAAAATGTGCTCCAGAGTACACTGAAAATCTTCACAAATTGCAGTGCTTGAGTGGAAGAGTTCAGCAGCATGACCCAGGTGAAACAAATGTAAATGGTTATTCCTTATACCAACAGCCAAAGTTAAGGTAAAAATTGTGGCAACTGCAGGTAGTTAAGGTAGTCAATAATACTTCTGTCAATTTTAAGAAAGGGTTAAAACTTATCTGAGAAAAAAAATCAAGTCATTATATGTCATCAAGACATTCAGCTTCCTCTCCAGGTTACATTATGCACCTCCCTTAAGGTTTAAAGGCAGGATGACAAGGTACACAAGTAAGGGATGGTGCTTCATATATTGTAATAACTGAACTCCAATCTGAAATTCTAGACTGCTTGCTGACATATAAAACTTTTCTGTATATCCCATTGCTACTAGATGAATTGTATTAATTTTCTAGTTCTACTTATTTTACTAGAAACAGAAATTTCAGTATTATCCATAGTTCCCTCTTCCAGTAGCATTAAGCATGACAAGTATTTTGTATTAGGTTTTATAAATCCCATCCTAAAAACAGTTACATTTTGGACCCAAGATTTTATTTTGGAGTAAAATATTTTATTAGATATGATAACATGTATGATTATAAACATACATGACCAACATTTTAACAATAAGGATGTGACAATTAGAAATCACCAATTTTTGCAGAACTTCTGTAAAAATCTGCTTATTCCCCGCAGGCAAAGAGTTAATTCTGTGGCTGTGTGCCACTTGTATTGTCAAAAAAGGGACCGAGTGAGATTTAACTGTTGTTGAATTAAACTTGAAAAACAAAGACTTTGGTTTTGTTTTTTACAGGGATCACTTGTCTCATCGGGAAGGATGCACAGATTTAATTTAGGCTGACATCTGTCACACAGACATGAACATAATAGCATTTTTTTCTTCACAGTCTGCCTCTTCAGTACCCAGAAACTTTCCATCTCTCAGGCTAAGATACACTACCAGAATCAGCAAATCTTCCTATTCCCCTTGTTTATAATACAATGGCATAATAATTTCTTACCCAGGCGGTACAAGCAGCAAACCGGCAAAATGTTGCCATGATGCTGCTGCACATCTAGTGGGACCTGTCCCTTCAGCAGCTGGAAATCTGAGATACACCACTCCTCACTTCTTTCCTGCAAAGCTCTGGGGGATATGTGAGTTGTCTATCATACCTTTGGAAATGTATCCTCACCCGCTGTAGATCTAATCAAGCTCTTGGTTGACCTCGGAGCTGAGCAGGGCACAAACTGCAAGTCCAGCTTGGCTCAGCTGAGCCTCTGGTTTGCATTACCCAGGCAGCTGTAAGATTACTCACGCTGGTGTCAGGTTTGTGCAATTGCTCACAGCTTCTCCAACACCCATCACACACAGTTGTATGGTCAGCCACGACTCACCCCCACTTCCCAACATCCCCTGGCCCATGCAGAAATAAAAGAGCTGCCACTACATTGCAGACCTTGAGTCATAGTAAAGCTGCCCTGCCTCCACTCTCATCCAGGCTAATTCCTGCCAGCCCAGGCCAGCTGCTCCTATCCATGTAGTTTATCATGTTTCTCCATCTCTTTAGTCGAGTATCCTTATTAAAGTAATCATGGTCCTTGTTAAGCCTCTGAGAAACTTATTTCAATGTTTCTTAATCCTATTCCCAAATGAATGAAAAGATACAGCCCTGAAACTAAAATCAGAAAGTCCATATCAATGCTTAAACCCCTACTTTATATTTACTCTCTTTAGAGTAGGCAAGCGATGAGGAAAAGACAGCTTTTAGGGCTGCAGGACTGCTACAGTAAGGTCAATCCCAAACAGGCAAAAGCATAAAAATGCAACATTACCAGAAAGGAAAACTTCCATCCTGAGACCTGCCAAGCACAGAGTCACGGAGATGTTCGTACGCAACCATCCGAATGCCAGAGTACACTGTGGAAAACAAAAGCAGGAGACGATTCTTGGGTCTGCCATTTATGGAGGTCACACTGGGATAGAAAGGTGAAGAGATTGGTTATAAAGCGCTCCAGAGCTTGCCTGGGTGAGCTGGTCACTGCTTTCATGTTTGTGATCAAGATGGGGAAATCGAGGGGGCTGCCTGCTAGCAGTGCTAGAGCCAGAATTTTTTAGCATCAGAGAATGGCTCTGGCTGAGCCACACGTTTGCCAGGAGGCAGCATGGCTTACGCCCTCACGCTAAGGAGATGCGACTGCATTGCTTCCCTCTCAGCTGCTGCCAAGCACAAAACCTCCCACAAGTGCTTTTGAGGTTTATTGCTGTCACTGTACTTCCACATAAAACACAGAAAGCTGTTACCTGTGGCCAAACCGCTAATGCATTTCTTCATCCTAGCACTTGCAACCTTATCTTTTTTTTTCCAGCCCATCGCCACTTCCCTCAAATAAAAGATATTTATTGTTATGAGGACTCCTGAGTGCCTGATTGTGCTGAAGACCTTCCTGCAAAGACAACAGGGAAATTATATTTTGTTTTCCCAGAAGCTAGAATAAGGCCGTGAAGGAATGGGCAAGAGGGAAGAGATTATATTGAGCCAGAATCCTGTATATTTTGAAGTGGGATTGCAGTGTAGACTGAAGAAGTCCTCGCAGATACATTTAAAGTAAAAGAAGATATGGCAAGATCACTCCAAGAGGCTGTTGGCCACAGAAGGCAGGACCCAAATTTGTCCCCTCACGAGCAGATAATTACCTATGTGGCGGTAGATGGCTGGCGTGGCTCCTTGCCAGAGCTTTCGTAAGCCCTCCTCTTGCACGATGCCAGCCGCGGTGCGCAGCATGCCGCGGTAAGGGACCGCCTGGCCGGCGGCAGCTCCATTGCGATGAACCGCAGCTTCACCTTGGACCTGCAGTCGAGTTTTTGTGAGATCTAGGGGAAATGTTACTGAGGAGAAAGAGCAGGGAGGAATCATGAATATGAGTGCAGCTGCATGGAGACCTACCATGCTGGTAACATCTGTGGCACAATCCCCCTTGCCAGGCAGCCCAGGAGCCTGTGCAAGCACCAGCAGGCAGCAGGGACAGCACCCAACGGGGCTGCAGGCGATTCGTGGAGAACAGCAGATTCATGTCCAGATCTGTTAAAAATGGCTCTGGGCACGAGTATCAAAATACATTCCCATCAAACACCGGGTCTTTCTCCCTTATTTGTTTTTGCAGCTTTGTTTTGCAATACATGTACTTTCCAAGAGACTCTGGATTAAAGATCCTGTTTCAGTTACTCCCCCTGAATAAAGATCAGTCAGATCTCTAACTATCAAATGTGTGGCCTCTCCAATTCTGCCCAGCATAGTGGCAGCACAAATTACAGTCAGGAATAACCCCAAAGTGGCCATCATAACGCACACACGCATGCAGGTGAGCATCTATCCTACAAACCACCCTAAAACGTGCTGCTGTGCTGATGTAGATGCGAAAATCATGATTAACCTCTTATTTCTCTCACTGGAGTAACTGGTGGCCAGGAAAGGTGGTCCCACTGGATCTCAGCTTCCCAGGGCTGTTCCTGGATCAGTATGGCTACATATTTGCTGTCCGTAATTTCAGTTCCAGGCCAGGAGTGTCTCACTGGGTGATGGACCCTCCCAGCCTGTGCCACACAGCGAGTGCCCAGGAGCAGGGGTTGTCTTTGGTTCGACACCTCTGCAATGCACAGTGCTACAGGGTCCTCGAGCAGGACTCGGAGGTACTAGGGGAATGCAATCACTACTCAAAGCCTTGACAGATTTATGGTATATCTGTGCATTAAATTTGGTATTTAAAGATTAGCAAAGACTGAGAAGTTACAAATCATTAGAACGATGCAACAGATTTGCCTGTAGAGCTTATAGAAATGATACAGAATATGCTGAAAAATATTTCAGACAAGTTACTGCTCATGAAGTAGCGCTATGCAGATGCCAGGGTGCTTCCTTCCTACATTTCAGCAAGCAGTTTACTATACTCCATTTTTACAGACCTGTCCACTGTAGCCAGAAACATAAGATTCAATTTTTCTTTGATTAACCTGTATTAACTATGAAAAGCAAATTCCTGAAGAAGTCAGACCCTTGCTACTGACTTAGGCAACAGATTGTCCTGCCTCAGTCTTCTTCCAGAAACCCAACAAGCACAAAGCTTAAATTAGTCACAACTGCTTTGTGTTAATGACTGCAACTCTTTGTTCTGAGAGACAAAGATCTTGACCTAAAAAATCCCTCCCTCCAGCCACAGTCAGGTGGCATAAAACACTTGCAAGCCTTAAATTACTGAAAAGTCACGACGAACAGAGTGAAACAGATTTGCTGAAGCAGAAAAGTTGGAGCAAACACCGAGGAATGAGGCACCTGGGGACTGTTCCCCCTGCCCTCCAGAAGTAAGTTTTGACCCCCTTCCCTCTCGGAAAATCATGGTGAGTTGTACCTAGTTCTGCCACAGCCGCTGCACAGGCTGACAGAGCGAATTTGCTGGCCCGGGGCCATCTCTCCGGAAGAGGTAAGCTCTGCTCTTCTTCTGCAGGTGACATCTAGCGCCTAACCTGAAACCACCCTGCGAGGGTCTGGAGCAAAAGCAGACCCTAAGCTCAGCTTTGTTCTGGGTCATTTAGGAGGCGAACTGCTGAAGGTCATATTTCTTCAGCGCCAGCACCAGGAACCGCAGCAGCGCAAGTGCCTCCTGCAGAGCTGCAAGGTCCTGGTGCAGTGACACAAGAGACTCCTGCGCAACAGGCTCCTGGGAAATGTAGTCTGTCACCAACGCTACCCTCTGCTAGGAAACCGGCAGTGCAGGTACAGTCACACGCGCAATTTTGTCCATTGTCTATGTTAAAAAAAATTAATGAGACCTCAAGATGACGAGAACACGTGTGGGGGCTGTTTGTTTGATGCAGTGCTGCTGACAGCAGTGCCTCGGGAGCCCCAAACTGCGTCCTCATGTCAAGCAGCTGCACAGGCATCTGAGGTGGATGAATTGATCCAGATCTGGTTTAATGAAAGCTGCATTAGCAACAGCTACGTGCCCAGCTGGAGTGCTAGTAGCAATTCACATCTCCTGGGGATTAGGCACAGAGCAGTGCAGTTTGAGCAAGGGGCATGCAAACCTGGGAAGACGGAAGCCAAACTGCCCAAAGCCCTGTATGTGAAAAGTTTAAAGCTTTTCCTGGCTGAATGCTGGAGCCCTGTTAATTGTGTGCCAGTCCTAATTTATCTTAAATTTATTCAGGCATATTTAGGTTCTTACCATGAAAAAAAGGGTAAGGCACGTAGTGTTCAGGAGAAGCCTTTATCATCAAGGGCTCAGCTGAATCACTAAGTTAATCATTAACCATTAATCAGTAATCCTCATACTGAGGATTTTTTAGGTCACAGAAACTTATCCCAGAACACCTCCCCACACCTCTGTCTAACTGCCTAGTATTTTGGTGTGCAGTCCCAGTCACAACAATTCAGACAAATGAAAGAAGCATTGCAGGTGAAATACTCAGCTGAAGTCAGATGAATTTATCTCATGGTCACCAGTAATCGGTGTTAAATTGGATCCTTCTTTGGGTTAGAATTCATTGGAATTCATGCAGTGGTAAAACAAACTGCCAACAAAACCCTAACTAAAATGGGAAGAAGGCATATTGCAATTTAATGCAAACATACCTGGCTGCACTGAGGGTACCAGTGGTTCAGAGCCTTATTCTAGACAGTTTATGCAATCTGCTGTTGTTGTGCTTTCCTCCATTGCTATTCTCCAGGCTTGGGTCAGCTTGTGCTGCTATGTATCAGCCTGTATATCATCAATTCATAATATAGGTTGGAGAGGACCCCTAGAGGTCGTCTAACACAATCCTCTGCTCAGAGCAGGGATAGCTTCAGACCTGCATCAAGTTGCCCAAGGTCTTGTTTGGCAACCTTCTGAAAACCTCCAAGGATGGGGATTTCACAACCACAGCCTGCTCTGGTGCTTAACCACTTTGTGAACATTTTTTCCTTATATTGTCAGAATTTCTCACCTTGAATTCTATGTCCGTTGCCTTTCATCCGTTACATGTACACCTCTGGGGACCCTCTCACTCTGTCTTCTCTATAACCATGCTTTAGGGGATGGAAAACAACAACTATATCTCTCCTTAAAATAAACCCCAGAACATTGCAGCATCCTATGGAGAGAGCAGCTCTCCATGGTGATTTTAAGTCTGGGGAAATAAGTGCTTTTTTTAAAACAGACTGATTTGGGAATGGCAGTGAGGTAAAATTTTCTCTTCCCACAGGATTTTTGAAATGAGCCTGACCTGGAGATGGACACTTGTGTGGACAGATCTGTGATTTGTGGAGCAGAGAAGGGACAGTGCCCACGGAGGTCCATCAAACAGCTAGAGTTTATATATCCCCAAATCCTGATGGAGACAGCTCGAGCAGAGAGGACCTTTCCTGTTTATTTATTTCAGTTTTCAGGGAGACAGCATTTTCTGGTTTCTGTTCAGAGCGAGTTTGATCAAAGGTTGCATATTCAGGGAGGGAGCGTGGTGGAAACACAGCAGCAGGGTTTGCGAGGGCTGTGTGCTGCCAGAGAAAGGCAACCAAACTGCCCCAGTCCTCTCACCTGCTCCCATCAGTGGTGACTCAGTTCACATCAAGAAGACGATAAAGTAGTATCTGCCCAGCACTAGGACTTAGTCTGAGGAAAGCTTGTTAGTGACTATCACACCATCACACCGGTGTGTCCTCCTCACAACAGTGCCTTTCAGTAGCATCTCGTGTCTTTCACCAAATTGTGCCTCAGAAACAGAAGCTAAACAACCAAAAAAAAAAGTCCAAAACAAAGACAAAAGCCTTTAATGAATGTCTTCACAGAGGTTTGAGGGCTTGTCCTACCTGTATACATAGCTCACTTAAACTTACTACTCAGGCTGTGCATATAATGAAAATATACTCAAATATTACAAGGCCTTTAGCTCTCTTATCACTTTACCCCTTTGTAGGAAAAAGAAAGAATTTAATGGGTAAAATAAAACCAGAAAATAAACATACAAAAAGCTGCGATAGCTAAACAGAGAAGCGTAGTAATACTAGAGTTAAAAGTGATTTATCGGTTTCTTCCAGACAGTTTGTGGAGATCCACATCCTACTTGTCACAGTTGACATATTTGGGCTTGTTCTGCACCTGTGACCAATGTAGGTGACATCTCAATGTATTTCAGCATGACTGTTTAATGAAGGCAATAGATCTGTTTTTCACAGCTCTTAACCTCCTACTATCAGGTGTATTTCCGCTGTGCTATTTTTACTGTACTGCCTGTCTGCACAGGTACAAAGATTCCTGTCTGTGCACCTGTTCCTGTAGAGGAAGGGACTTAAACTGTATTTGTATAAACCACTTTTAATGTGGCACTTCCTGGTGCTTCACTGGGCTCACTCCAGTCTGTCAGTGTCTCTCTTGCACTGGGGAACCTAGAACTGGACCCAGCACTCTGGATGGATCACTCCAGCACTGAGAAGAGGGGGAGGATCACCTCCCTTGTCCTCCTGACAACTCTTTTCCTAATGCACCCAGGGTGCTACTGAGTGCAAAGGCACATTTCTGACTCATGTTCAACGTGGTTTCCACCAGGACCCCCAGATCTACATAGCTGCTTTCCACACAGCTGGCCCCCAGCCTGTACTGGTACATGGGGCTGTTCCTTGTCAGGGGCAGGACTTGGCATTTCCCTTTGCTGAACTTCGTGAATTCAGTTTTTTGCCAAGAAAGGTTGGACCAGATGATCCTTGAGGTGCACTCCAACCTGGTATTCTATGATTCTGTGATAAGTGTCTGTTTGCCCATTTCTCCAGCCTGTTGATGTTCCTCTAAATGGCAGCACATTCATTTGGTCTATCAACTAACTACTCCTCCTGGTTTTGTACTTTCTTCAGACTTGCTGAGGGTGTGTGGGGGTTAGCTGTGAGAGCACTTCCTAGGTTTTTTTATACTTAGAGAATTCGGTATGTAATTTTGGTGTACTACTTCCACACATGCAAAGAAACCAGTTTGACCTCTCCGAAATGTCTTCTGACATTGCAGTGATATTATTGGGACCAACAGCAGGTTTTGAATTCTCAGTTCAACCTCTGAAGCCTTTCTCTGCTCCTCAGACACTGGACACACATCTAGCCTTTAATGAGATGATCTCAGACAGGTGAGAGATACCTTTCAGAAGCCTTACTACTTCAGGTGATGCCTGCAGAAGTTTCTTGCCATCTGCCTTGCTGAAAGCTAAATGTCTGCAAATCATAGCCTCTCTGCTTGGTAATTTGATATTGCCAAAAAAATGTTTGTTTGTTTTTTTTTTTTAACTGAAGAAAGTGACGCACAGTGTCCCTGACCGCTCGGGTAGCCTTCCAGCAATGGGTGCAAAGTTCAGGGGTTTGTCGCAGCAACATCTAAGTTTTGTAAGCCGTGGAGTTGGTCCTCATCCCAGAGTGGAGGAGAATTGGCTCTGCCTTTTCCAAAACAAGGGCTTGCCCCTGGGCTGCTTGGTGCTTTGACATCTTGTCTCCATGGCAGTGATCAGCTGGCAGGACTGATAAAAAAGGCTCTATTCACTGACTCGGGTAATCGCGGCCAGCGCGGCCGTGCTGGGCGCTGCGGCAGGCAGAGCAGCTGCTGTGGCAGGCAGCAGAGGCAAAATGGCTCTTGCTGTCCTTCTGGCAGCAATCCTGGGACTTCTTATTGTCAAGGCTGTTTTGTTTCAGCTGAGAAACCCGAGCTCCCCTCCTTGCATCGGGAGCTGGATCCCTTGGTTTGGAGCTGCGTTTCAGTTCGGGAAAGCTCCTCTGGAGTTTATAGAGCGAGCTAGAAGCAAGGTAATGGCTGTGGTGGCGTGCCTGCTTGTGGGTGTGTGCTCAGGGTGGCTGCCTGCAAGGGGAAAGGCGAGAAGAAACTTCTACATTAAGTTAGCCCCTTTCCTGCCGTGTTTTATAACATTAGGAGCATTTATCTGGTGAAGGATCAACTTTGTACCAGTAACATTGTTAAGTTGTAGATCAGATTTAGGCATCATCTCTGTGCTGTGATCATCCTGTTTGGACCCAGCACCTCTGCTGTTTTGCTTTTACAGACTAGTTACGTGATAATCTTGGTTTGGGATAATATGGAAAGCCTTATGCCAGGCACTGGGACCAGGAGACTGATTATTTGTGTGCCTAAAGTTAGGTGAGATTTCTGAGTACCAGCTGGTGTCCCTCAACATTCGAGAGAGATACAGGCATGCTTGTCAGGCAACTTTTTCCATCCTAAAAAGCTTACCGAAGACAAGAGTGAAGATTTACCCCCGGCCATGCCTTTCTTTCTCTATGTCTGTCTGATAGAGCCGAAATGATTAATTTAGATTAGATGCTTAATTTCTAGGCAGCTAATACTAACTGACATAAAACCCGTCTTCCTGTTTTCATTCAGTGATATCACCTGTGACTGATGCAAAATATAGTCAGCCTCAAGTGTTCAATACTGAAGGATCACACAGCCCACTACTTGCAAAAAACAGCTAAAAATTAAACCACTGTAGCATCCTGACAGTTGAAAACATATTAAGAAATACTGGCTGCTTAAAATTTGCTTTCTCGTTTTGAACTGTTATATTTCATACTTTAAGTACTTCTTTGCAGCCATGGTTGTTATAAACTTGTGTTAAATGAAAGCAGAGATTCAAGTATGATCAGCTGAAGTATGAGGTGTAAGAACTTCAAAAGCTGTCAATCTTGCATTAAAGCACATTGGATGCACTACAGAGTAAGCTCATGTGTACAATCAGTTCCTTGGCTTCTTTGAGCTTACCAGGACAGTTTTAAGCTTATATTACCATGTCTTTCCTGTATCTTTCATCTATACATACCATGATCAGTTGTTTGTTCATTCATCTTAGGGCAGAAATGTAGGGCTGGAATAAAACTCATTCCAGTTCGTTCTCCTGCTATTTCAGAAACCATTCCGTATAATCCTTCAAATAAACTGACCAAGCCTCACTTAAAAAGAAGCCAATCATAATATTTCTTTGACACTTCTGATATGATACTGTTAGAGAATCTCCTTGTTCTATTGAAAACGTATCCTGGTGGCAACCAGATTAAAGCAGCCTGCCAAACTGTCCTTTCCAGTGCAATGCCTTTTGGAGACAGATGTGTCACCATGACTTAGGCTTGCTTTAGTTGCATTTTTTCCCAGGAAGCTTTTAACAAAATTTCTTAGATGGAATTTTAAAACAAACCTGAAAGAAGAATCCTTTTTAGGGGTTCATTCACAGACTGAATGAGCAAAACTTTTACGTACTATAGAATGTATTGAAGTACAAATGCAATCTTACTGGCTCTGGGTCCATTAATTTCGATGTTCGTTTGCCTGGAGGCCCTCTAGGCCACTGTTGGTGCTACGGCAGCTGCTGCAGCCTCTGAACACACCAGAAACACCTGAGGGACTTTATAAACCCCCGGTCTGGCTGGGACAGAAACTATAAGAAGAAACATTTTCAAGAGGAGAAAACTTGAAATAAGGCAAAGCAGAAAGAGAAGGCTTTCTTACATATCTCCCCTTTACTGTGTGTTTGCAGATAGGACCTTTCCTTTGAGTTTCAGCACCTCAGTGTCTTTATGAGTTGTGACCTCTCCCTGTGGTTCCCCTGGGCCAAGAGGGACCTTTCATCCATTGCCCCCAGGCTGCCTGCCTGCAGCAGGATCATCTGTCTCCCTGCCCCTGGAGAGGGCTTGTCTTGTCTGTCTGTCTGTCTGTCTGTCTGTCTGTCTCCTACACTGGCACCATGTGCTGAGGCCAGGAAATACAAGCCTTTTCCTGCCTGCTCCCTTTTAAAGGAGTATCATAGTACAGCCAAAGAAAACAGGTGCCTCTGCCAAAGGGGTCATTAACAGGCATTACAAGGGCTGCAAAATACATCTGCAATAATTCCAAGCTCCTTAATATTGCCAGAAGGTAAAGTGTCCTTAGTATGAGCAAACTGCCTCATAAAAGTTAGCGAAGAAACAGGCTCCAGGCAGTGTGAAACCTCTTCAGCTCCATAGGGTCGTTACCTTCAGAGGAAACTTTTGCAATTAGAAAATTCCTCCCCTGGATTACTCCTTCAGTCTGTCAAAGTGATGCTAATTTCTTTTTCTTTCTTAAGGAGTTAGCTTTCTTATTATTGTCCCTTTTGTGTATATCCCTCACTGCTTTTTCTCTCAAGCCCTGGAGTAACACACCAGGCTTCCACTGCTTCCAGCCAGCACTTTGCTTGAAGGTCATTATTTCTGTTTTCCTCCTACAAGAGAAGATGTGGGCTGGAAGAATTGTCTGGTTTTCCCCTTGTGTCACCAGTGGGTCTAAGAAAAGAAAGATCCCCTGCTAATTAAATATTTAATCTCTGGTCTAATAAAAGATACCACCTCTTCCTCCTGAAGCTGCCTGGATATTTAAAGAGGTTTTGCAGGCAGTCTGAGATGGGCAAGGTGGGTAACCAGAGCCACCATGCAACATAAAATACAGGTAGAGCTGCTTAATGAGGGGTTCAAACAATATGGTTTCCCACTTTACCTGGCAGACATGATAAGAGTTAATAAATTTCAAATGCTTCTCACCAGTTTGCTAATTAAACTAACAAGAAAAGTTCAGTTAAACCCATGAGATTGTTCATCCCTGCTGTGTGGCCCTGTGGGTCCATACCTCACTCTCAGTGTGTTGACTGTGTTTGGGACGTGGTGCCATGTCTCAGGACTCAGGTAGATGCCTCTCAGCCTTCCTCTCTGTGTGTGGTTGCGTGAGGGATGGCTTGCCGGGTTACATGACAGGGGACAGGCGTCCTGCATGAGGTTTGGTGGAGGGGGAACAAGCTGGAGAAGAGGACAAGGCTTCTGCTGGAGCGTTTCTGAAGACAGTGTCCACAGATGAATCACTAACGGTTTGTGACCCTGGTCCCGTGCACAGAAGACCAAAATGCTAAAGTCCCTGAGATGAGAGGAGATATGGCATTGAATTTGTGTGTGTGTGCATGCCAAGGGAGAGAAAACCAGCCCAGTGCCCCTAGATCCCACCATGAGTCTTGACATGACTGCAGCTGTCTCAATCCAGAGTGGTTGATCCCTGCCTGGCTGCGCCCTTGGGAAAAATGTCTGTTTCCCCAATTTCCTTCCTGTGGGATTTTGGAGAACATCCTTTTGAAGTTTTTTTTGTTTCTCTGGAGTGTTACTTTCATGTGAGCTCAGATCTCCCTCTTATCATTACACTGCTGTTTTGTATGGTGTTTCCCAGTCTTTGGGAAAGAAAAAAACTTTCATAAGTGAAAGCAGCTTCACAAGTACTAAATCCTAACAGGATTTTTGTTTTGCTTTCTCGATCTCTGTATGTTATCAGGTCTTCTTAAGCACTCAGACGGAGCAGTCAACTGGGACACAGTGTTGGCAGGCAATGCCCACGCTCTGTTGGTACCCACCCATAACACAGTAATGGTAAAATGCAGAGCTGCTTGACAGCTCATTCCAGTAGCTGATTTCATGACTGCTAGAACATCAGCATAATTATACCAGGACAGGTGAAAAGTCTGTTTATTCAGGTGTCTGTCTCAAATAGCAGCTGTTAGTAGATGCTCAGTAACAGGGTGTAGGGAGCACAGCCAGGTGAGAGTGCTCAGCCTTCTGCTTTTCCTTCTCAGCTTCTGGCTGTCAACAGTTTAGGGACTTCCTAGGCTGGAATTGGCATCCAGATGATCTGACTGTGATAGCCTAATCCTTTTTTCACCCTGTACATAATTTTGGCTTCCACTGCATCCCACAGCACCGAATCTTATAATTTAACCATGAACCGTATGAAGAAAGCTAGCTTCTAATAGGTGCCCATTAGCTTTTACATGATGAGAAACTGGGAATAATTATTCTTTTTTCACCTTTCCTGGGATCTAAGTCCACTTAGTCTTCTTTTATTGAAACTTTCATTCATGCTTCTTGTCCATTCCTTTGCCTTTTCTAGCTCAGTATATCGTGCTGAGGTGGAATGGGCAGAGACACACATTACATTGAAGGTGTAAGCACAGGATGGATTTAGATATTTGCTGTCCTTTCTCCACTCTTTTCCTAGCAAGATGAAAACTCTAAATTAATTATTAGCACTTGTAGAATAGATCTTGGGGTCATTTCAGAATGTGATTCTTCTAGGTCTTCTTCTGTGATGTTTCTAGGTCTCCTCATAGTTCAGACTCCCGAGAGACTCCAGTTTGTGTGCAAACTTTTAATTCCTTCTTCTAAGGAATGAATTAGGAATATGTTTAAGGCCACACATCCTTATGTCTTCCTAAAAGCTGTATTGGGCTCTTCTTCAGCCTAAACATCCTATTTATCCACTACTAACTCTGATCTTTGATAACACTTGTAAAAATTTGCTGAGTACTGGAATAACTCTTTGAGACTTCCCAGGTCCCCCTTTAGAAAGACACCACGTTGACCTGCCCATCCTCCTGTTGCTGAGGGTGATTTAACAGATCACGGTAGGTAGTTCTGCAACTTCACATTTTAATCCCTCTAGAATTTTGAAGTGAAGTATTTATCACTGATTTACCTAGTGCTTGTTTAAGTCTATTCTACTTAATACTTCATTTGAAACAAGGTCTCAGTCCTTCACTCTCAGTGAAAGGCTTCAGGGTGGAACTTGTTTTAAACTGATGTAATCACTAACTCAGATAGCTTCGCCGCTTGGTTTCTTTACACCGTGAGCGTTTATCAGGCTCAGCAACACACTGGGAGACTTCCTGTATCTGGTATGTTCAGAAAAGTCTTTATTATTGGGAATGGGGACTGCCGCGAGTAGTTTGATCCTCAAACTTCCTTTAGTATTTTAATTTCATATTTGATTTATCAGATATCGTATTTATTTGTAATTTCCTGTTTGGACACAAAATTCTTCTTTCTGAAATATATGTCTTTGAATATCCACCATCACTGTGCTGTTCAGTGAAGCTGACTTGTTCTGGAGGTCCTTTATGGAGCTTCTTAAATTTAAATTTTGTTTAATATTAGTTTAATTTTAATTCTTTTAAATAGATTGCAGGAAATTGGATGAGAGTCAAAACCATATTGTTTGCATAGGTGTTTGCAGGTAAGCAAGACGTCCAAACTTTACTGATGGTCAGTGGACACATAGTGAGTCCCATCAGTGGAGTCTAGGGGCAGTTCAGTTCACTTTCAAAAATAGAGGTGTGCAGTAGCTGGTCAGATTAATTGTTTTTTAGGCTCTCCTGACTGCATAGACTCGATCTCTATTGTCTATAATGGAGGCATAGCCATCCTGCTCACAGTGATCATCTAAAGTGTTCCACTCCTTAATTGAGTGCGACCTTAATTGAATAATGAGGTGTTATTGCAGGTTGATACTAGTTTAAATTTAATTTTATCTTAAAATTAGCTTAAGTACATTTTAATGTTAATTTAAAAATTTAAAAAAATATATTTTAAAAACAAACAAAAAATCTATTTTAAAAACAGTGCAAATTCATGGATTGTTATCCAGCCTGATGCTGTTATCCATAAAAAAGCAACCTTAGCAATTTAGCTATTATCAAACCAATATTTTATTTATTATCACCCAGAGAGTTTAAACAGTCATTCTTTCTTTAATAATTTACAGTTGAAGGACACAATCAAAAATCAACTGATATCAAGAGGAATCTTTTCTTTGGCTTCAAAGAGCTTTTGATGAAGCAGGCTTTACAATACAGACACAGACAACAAAAGAAATGGTTAAAGTCAATGGCATAAACCATGTGAGCAAGGTGGATTCAAGGCTTTTCAGTACTCCAAATAGATCAACAGAAAATATTTTCTCACCCTTGTCAGCAATGTAACCTGGAAAAGAAAATCAAGGTCCTTGCTGTGTCTAGAGACTTTATGAAACCCTAAACTGTTCCGTATGTACAATAACTTTGCCAAAAGAAGGTGGTCTGCATATAAATGTAAATGCTGGGCTTTTCATTTCCAAGAATTTTACCTGTGAGCAGAAATTGCCTTGACTAAGAAAAAGATGCTAGAGGTGCTTCATTTCCTAATTTTGATTTTTTTATGTCTAAATCTGACAGCCAGTAGATATTAATTGCACAATTGTTTCCTAGTTTAGAGTATCTACAGATATCAGTGATCTTTTTCATAATGTAGGAATTCAGAAGTGAATACTTATTGCTGAAAGTTTTGAGAGGGCTCTAGGATTAAGGGAAAATGAGAGATTGATTTATGGCATCATAAACTTTCCCTGAACATAAGTCTCAAAAACTCCATCTATTCTGCTGAAAACTTATTAGCTATTTTGATATTAATCTTTCAACACCTGTACAAGAAAGAAATCGTTGGTATTAGCAGAACCTTTAAACTAGAAAATAAAATAAAATAAAATAAAAAAAAACCACAACAAGAGGTCAGGCAGGCCCCTGTGATGTTCCCTTCTGGTCTGTAAGTCTATGAATTTTCATCTGATTCATGTTCAACTTCATGCACTTCTGAGCCAAGGTGTACAGAGAGCAGGAAGGTCCATGTCCTCCCTCCTGACCTCTCAGCAGCCCCGAAATCCTGCTGGGGCTCCCGTCAAATGTGCTAACAGTACAGTAATATGAAATCTTTGTTTGTTCCAGCATGGACCTGTATTCACAATATTCGCTTTGGGAAAACGGTTTACTTTTGTGACTGAGGAGGAAGGAACGGAAGCATTTTTTAAATCTAAAAACTTAAATTTTGAACAGGCAGTACAACAAGCTGTTGAGAATGCAGGTAAATGAGACCTAAATCTTTTTAAATGGAAATCAAATCTAACCCAGGAAAATTAAATCTTAATCCAAAGCCCACTGGCTTTTGATCATGCCTTAAATGCTTATCTTAACCCATGACCATGCTACAAAATGAAGGTGAAATGAAATTCCTTCATGTGGAACCAGCACAGTAAGCCTGCAAAGTGATCTGGATGCAGTTTCAGATGATCAAAGATTTCTCAACCAGGGACTGTTACTACTTTTATCATCAAGCAATGCCAGTTTGTGATCAGGTCCTTTTCTGCAGCTAAACACTCCACCTATGTGTACCAGGTTTGGAGCAATAGTATGTTGTCCTATCACTTAATTTGAAAATCAGCTTGTAGCAATAATTAGTTGTTACCCTGCAGTACAACAGTCATTAGAAAGGGATGAGGTATATATCCCAACCACAGTGGCATGCTCTGTCAGCTCATGTGCTTATATCCCTGTGGAATCGCAAGGATACGAATTCTTTGAGTAGTTTGGCATTTTGGGACTGTGAAATGAGAGAGGAGCAAGTTGGCAGAGAGATTAAATCCCAGAATCCCTGTGGCTGGAATGCACTGCTGGAGATTGCCTAGTCCAAGCCCCTGCTTGGAGCAATGTCAGTGACAGCAGGTTGCTCAGGGCAGCGTCCAGTTGGGTTTTGAGTATCTCCAAGGATGGAGACTCCTCAACATCTTTGGGCAGCCCGTTCCTGTGCTTGACCATCCTCATAATAAAAATTTTCCTATGTCTCAGTGGAATCTCCTGTATTCCCATTTGTGCCCATTGCCTCCTGCCCTGAGAAGAGCCTGACCTCATCTTCTTTACTCTCACCACCAGATATTTATCCACACTGATAAGATCCCCCCCGAGCCTTCTCTTCCCCAGGGTGAACAGTCCCAGCTCTCTCAGCCTCTCCTGGTATGACTGAGGGGATGTACTGCTATAGCATGAAGACCCAAACTGTTTTTTCTTGGGTTATTTTTCATTTCAGTCAGTTTTGTGGAGTGCATGCACATCTCTCTACATCCACACTGAAGCTGGGGGGAAGTTTCTGGTTTGTTGATTTTGACACTGAAAGCTTCAGAAGGCAGGAAGATGTTACATAGACTGGTAGAAGCAGTGGGCTCACCAAAATCTTTACAGGGTTAGAAGGAAGCTTTCTGGGAATTTCACTCTAGGAAAATGAGAGTTAAGGCATTTAAATTAAAGTCACAAGTTATGTGTAAAATTTTTCACTCTTTCAGTGAAAATCTACTTCATCTATTTCCAAAACTTCTCTGTTTCTTTTTGTATTTAGTTTCTGTCCCTGCAGAAGCATTTTATCAGAACCATGGTAACCTCTACAGCATGATGAAGGGAAAAATGGGTCCTTCTAATCTGCACATGTTCACAGGCACTTTGTGTAAGGAACTACATGAGCACATGGCACATCTGGGCACGGAGGGTACTGGTGACCTCAATGACCTGGTAAGGTAAGGGAATTTTGCAGCACATCTGTAATGCACAGTTATTCTATATGAGAGCAGAGATGTTACTGTAAAGCTGGTGGAGCTCAGGCTCTCAAGTCTTAGAAAAGCTGTGTCAGGATATTCATCACTGCTTCCCAGTTTCAGATGGGTCACAGAGTGGGTAGGGTTGCATCTAAAGGTGTTTCGGCTAGGAGAGACATCTGAATTACCTATTTGAAAAAAAAAAAAAAAAAAAAAAAAGAATACATAGCATCTTCCAACACACCCTGTTTTCCAAAAGATGGGATAAAAGCTTTACATGTTTATAAAGAACATATGAACAGACAAAATGCTTGATCTTCAGCAGGATAAAAACATTCCCTGCATGTTTTCAGACAAGCCTAGCCCAAAACTTAAATAAGACTTCTGCAGCTGACTTTGCTGCCAGAACTTCATCCTTCGTGTAAAAAAAATCCCTTTACCGACAGTTTCATGTGACAACAACATAGCTTTCAACTCCCTCTTTCTTCCTGATCTGGGACAACACCTGTATCTTGCCTGTCCATCAGAACTACATGTTGAATACTGCCTTTGGCTGGGACCTGTCTCTAAGACCTCACATCCAGGTTGTCTTTTGCTGAGTTTTTCTGCATAATATATCTAAGATACAGCTTTTTACTGCAGCTAAACCACTGAGCACCTGTCACCTCAATTACTGCACTGGGGAAAAATGTGGGGGAAGGGCTTTGAAACCTCCCAGCCCTCAGTGCCATTGGTCTCAATAATGGGGTGACAAACCCCCACATCCCATGGTGTTCCCCCACCCGTCTTCTGAGATCAACATCACATCTGATTCTTGTGAAAAAACACAGTCATTGAATCTGTAGCGTGCTACGCCACTCTCTGGTATGCTAATATTGGCTCACCTTTTCTTGCTACTGCCCTGTCTGAATCCATCTCTGATCTTTCACCTGGGCTCAAGTTTCTGAGGTCAGGGACGGACCTGTTGTTCTGTGCTGTACTGGCACCAGCACAGACCGTGGTCCACAACATGGCTTGGGCACCCATGGTGGCATGGGTGTACAAGGCATACCTGAAGCATGCATGGCTTCCTGCTGCATCCCTGCTGCAGCCTTGAGGAGCAGGGCATTCTTCCCACTACCATGGCTGTCATGGACACTGGTCATCAAATCCAAATCAGCTGCTATTTGTCTAAAATTTTTTAAAAAGTCATAGACTAGATGATAAACTACAGAGTCTGTAAGAGTCATCCACAGTAAATCTGTGCTAAGTGTGATCTATTCTTATGGTTTTGCCAGACAACACAGGATAGAAGAATTGGAATGCAATGTCCTGGATAATTGTTATTTAGCTGCCTCAAAATTAAATCCATAGAGCCAGCAGGTGGCTCCATCTTCCTTATGATCTGTAGAAAAGCAAGAAAGTGACAGAGCCATTGACTGAAATATGTGTTTAGCAGTGGCTGGAACCCAGCAAAGACTGCATAAGCTTTTCTTGGGGCTAGAGAGTACAGGTGAAGTGGTCTGAGAAAGGAGCCTGGAGTTTGCACGATAACGGAGGAGCAAACAGGGAAGGAGTGAGACAAAAAGAAAACAAAAAAGCATTGTTCTGTCCAGCAAAGCTGCAGCCAGAGGAAGGATTTCTTGGGCGTTTGGTTGCAGAAGGGTTTGTGCAATGCCCAGAAGGTCCATGTGGGCTAAGCTGAAATATGAGGGGTGGTTAATGGGAAGAAGGGGACCTCAGTGCCCAGAGCCTTTCTGCCACTGCTCAAGTGGCCAGCCTTAACTGATGAAGTTCAGCCACATGCAGAGGACTAGCCTGAGGTCTGTGTATCTCCCAACCTCTACTTAAAATTGCAATAAGGGTGTGAGTGAGGTACGAGCCTTGTGCCAGCCCTTTCCATAGTGGCATGACATGCGAGTCCCACAGCTTCTACCACTGGCAATACAATTTGCTTCATCCTGACCTCAAACTGCTGCAACAGCTTCTGTATGGGCTGTAAGTCACGAGGATCCTGTCCTTGCAGGCATGTCATGTATCCAGCGGTGGTGAACACATTGTTTGGAAAAGGCATCTGCCCGACAAGTCAGAGTGAAATCAAGGAGTTTGAAGAACATTTTCAGAAGTATGATGAGGACTTTGAATATGCTTCTCAGATGCCCGAGTGCTTCCTGAGGTAACGGAGTGGAGATGATGTGTGTGGTGTACCCATAACAGGCATTTTGCTTGCTGGGATATCAACCACAAGAGACATTTCCCCTGGAAGAAGATGCACTGTCTTTATTGATGGTGCATCCTTGGGTCAGGCAGGCTTTCAGCTAGGTGCTTCAAAAATGTTCTGACCTTGTCTCATGCATTTTCCTGGCATAGAGCAGAAACAACCTTGCTTAGGTGAACAGGGTCCAGCTTGGACCTGTCAGGGAGCAGCAGAACTGGGCAAAGGGCAAAGGCCTGAGCCTAAATGTGAGTCCCAAGCTGAGGGGGTCCCCAACAAGGCACCTCTCTGCTCTTTCCCACACCTTAGCTGATTTCCCAGCAGACTGATCTCAGCTTACATGGCTGCACTGTCACAGAGCTGACCTTGGGTAGAAGCAACCAAACTCCAAGGAAGGGAGCCTGTCAGTGCTCTCAGGGCCATGACAGCAGCTTGAGCACCTCAAAATAGCCTTCATAAAGAACTAAGGATGCTCTAAAAATGTGGCCTTTATTCTGTTATGGGAGGTCATTCTTGAAAAGATTGACCTAAGCAATTGTCCAAAGCCACAATGCAAGCCTGTAGTGGAATAGATATGAAAATCTAGGAGTCTTGCAGTCATAGGTCCTGGCTGCAAGATGATGTTGGGCCAACACTACCAACAGTCAGATTGACATCTGACTGGTCATCAGATGACTGCTGCCCATGGAAGAAACCATGGAGTCCTTCTCATGGAAAAGAAAATGTTGGGTTGTGCTGCCTCAGTTAAGTTCTACTTGTTTGCTGATTTTCTTTACAGGAACTGGTCTAAATCCAAAAAATGGCTTCTAAAATTATTTGAGAAAGTAGTGTCAGATGCTGAAAGGACCAACCCTTCGGATACCACATCCAAGGTAAATATCTGAGGCTATGAAATAAGACTTCATTATATGTTCTGACTGAAGGAACGGAGGGCAGGAATTAATCAAATCACAGAATACCAGGTTGGAAGGGACCTCAAAGATCATCTGGTCGAACCTTTCTTGGCTAAAACACACTCTAGACAAGATGGCCCAGCACCCTGTCCAGCTGAATCTTAAAGGTGTCCAATGTTGGGGAATTCACCACTTCCCTGCAGAGAATATTCCAGTAGCTGACTGTTGTCATTGTGAAATATTTTATTCTTGTGTCCAGTCAGAATCTCCCCAGGAGTAACTTGTACCCATTACCATGTGACTCCCTGTAAAGGAGTCTCCATCTGCTTTGTAACCACCCTTTAAATACTGGAACATGGTGATAAGGTCTCCCCTAAGCCTTCTCTTCTCAAGACTGAACAAATGTAATTCTCCTAGCCTTTCCTTATATGATGGGCTTCCCAGTCCTTTGATCATCCTTGTGCACCCTCTCCACGCCGTCTGCATATTTTTTGTATAGCAGGGACCAAAATTGAACACGCTGAATTATTTCAGTACTGGAAGAAAGAAGCCAAATATGTCAGCTTCAATAGCTGTACCTTAATTGTCCAGTATTGCTGTCACCTGCATTAGGACAGACCCATAATTTTGAGTCCTACTCCTCAATTTAGTTTATTTACTACAATTCTGAGAATTGACATCTTCCTCTGAGGAATTTTAAGCCAGGGGTTCAGAGCTATGACCCACCGCCAGCCTCTGGTATTGCAGTTGCAATGAGCAGTTGAAAGAGGTGAGAGAAAGACCTCTTCAGTTGTTTCTCTGAGGGCACTGCACTGTGAAATTTCAAAACCTTACATGTACTATTTTTAAACCCTGGTGTAGAGTGAGCAGATCCTCCAGCAGCCAGACTAGTAGAAAATAGCAGATTACTGGATTGGAAGCCAAGTACCCTAAATATTGATCGTGTCAAAGCTGTGATAAGTTGTCCCCCTGGTTATTCTCCTTAGCTATGGCAGGAATTCTGTCTATACAGCTGACAAACACAAGGGCAGACTGGCCTGGGAATTTTGATCTACCAAATGATTACAGAAAAGATCATTAAACAAACCAGGTTCTATTTAGACTTTAAAAGCTTTACATACCACAGTTTCTTTCATAAAATAAACCAGAATAATGGAAAGAAAGAGAGGGCTGGACAGGGGATGGTGGGAGGTAAGAGGTGCGGTAAGTAGGAGGCATGAACTCGGTGTCTTTGATTGGGTGGGAATTTGGAAAAAAGAGTTGTCATTTTTTATGCAAGGTCAGCCTGTTCCCCTCTGAAAAGTAGACAAGAAACTTTGCCTTGGCTGCATGGTTGCCCTGTATTTAAGGAAATATTATAAACAAAAGCTGATTCTAGAACATTACACAGTTGCTATAGTTTCAAAGAATATTGAGCTGTTGAAATCACTGATTAGGTCACTAACAGAGCACCAGGAACTAGGGAGTTCGCTGATATATCAGACCACCTCTTCCTAACAAGCACCCTTCTGACATGAACAGAGAGAACATTTTCTTAATTTCTATTCATTCAACTTGTTCAGTCCCATTTTCAAATTCGTTAAAGCAGAGAAGTAGAGCAGGAATTTAAAAAGAACAGAGATTACTTTTTTATTTCTTCCACATGCAAACAGCAATGGGGAGTGAGGGAACCAAATCCCCCCAAAAATTTAAGAAAATGGAGGCCAGTGTAGGTATTCGGTAGGGATTCACGTGGTGCATTGACTTCTGGCCCTCTGCATATGAATGAGTCTTACTTTCTCTTAAGAGCTGTCATCTCTACTTTGTGACTGCAAAAACCCCATAACTAACATTACTTCATCCTTGAATTCTAGCAAACCCAACCCTAAACTAGATTTTAATATATTTTTGGAAATGCACATTATTATCTTTTATTTATAACAGACACTACTGCAACATCTCCTGGATAACTTGCAAGAAAAACATCTCGCTCCTAATTATGGTCTCCTCATGCTCTGGGCTTCCCAGGCAAATGCTGTCCCTGTAAGTATATCGGCTAGAGAAACACCTTCTTTCTGTCCTGTTCAATAGCCTGTATTTGGGAAGCCAAGACTTTGAACCAGAGGTCACACACACTCCACGTATTCCAAAGAAGGGATTATCACGCCCACATGCATCACTACAAATATACCCAGGCTGAAATGTCAGAAGCAATGACAAGAAAAACTCTTCTTGTATTTTTCCTAAATTATGACGTCCCCTACCATAACATTTTGGGAGCATATGACTGATAGCTATTAAGATCACAGTCCTAAACTGTAAAGAGCATTTAACTATTTTGAAACACTGTGGCTGTATTATAGTAGAGACTATTTTAAACATCCTGGTGTTACCAATTGTAAAGAATATCCAAAGTGTAATATAGAATAACTTCATCTGTGTGTAAATCCTTGAGTGAATTTCGCTCTTTGGCTTTGGGGAATCTGCTGTACAAATGCCAGTGTTGCTTCAGGGGAAGAAAAGCAGTAGTTTGATTCTACTGCCGCTTAAATTTTGTCTATGTTAGAAACGGATTTGACGGATTAATGATACAGATATGTGTACGCTAACAAGCCCAATATATATAACACAGCTTGCATTGACCAAAGACATTTATAGGAATTTCTCAGATGAAAAATCCATAGCAGCAAAAACATCCTTTATTTACCATGACTACTGAGCTCTTTCCAGCACAGTTATGTCCATTACAGATGTGATTTAGAAAAAAATGATAGCGAGTTATTTTTGTATGTACTCCTAATGGTTATATCTATGTTTTTTGTAGATTGGATATTACTACAATTTACTCTAAAGGAATTTCATCCACTTCAGTGAGATTTCTGTGGATTCACATGTTGGTATAAGTGAGAGGCATAGCCTGCTGTCTGTTATCAGGATAACTGACATTCCTTCCACAACACTATCATTACTTACTTCTGTAATATCCAGCTGTAAATAGACATACAGATATTTTGTTGTTTCTCAGAATAGTCACAACCACTGTTCTGGTGACTGGAATGATGAAGGAAGGCCTTTCACCTTCCAAGGGGATTTTTTATAGGAGTGTTAAACCCTTTTATCTGAAACAATTCAGTTATCCCTCCTTAGCCTGTGGAGTGAAGCCACAGCATCGGTGCTATACAAGAAGACTAAGCTACCAGATTTGTTTTGCAGAAGGAGGGTTGCATCCACGTGGGGCTATTTGGGAATTAACAGTAAGAGTTCTCATCCCTCACCATCACAGATGGCCCAAAACCAGATCTGTGTGCAGACTGCATCTCCTGCTAGCTCAGCAAGAGGAGAGAGACTCCTGTCAGTGCTGCAAGTCCTTCTGGTTTCATTCTACTAAAGAGGATTTTCTCCTTTCCTACATTTCTTGATTTCCAACTTCATTGCATAATCTGTTAGCAAATTATTTCTAAAGGGGATATGCTACTGCTTGTTTTGCTGATAATTAAAACTTTTCCTGCCCATTTTAGTGTGACTCACTGTGACAATGCACTGCCAATTATTTAACCTAATTTCTGCTAATATTAGTAGGAATTTACTATTCAATTTTCTTCCATTCATGCAGATAAATCTAATCACATACAGTGATTTAGTAATTCATTTTAGCACCTAGTTATTTGAAATTAAAGAAAGGATTCTGTGTTTCAAAGCTCAAAGCCAAAGCTATATAATGTTCACTGAAGATAAGTACACAGCAGATGACTAGACATAATCTCCTAGGAGCTGAGCTCTCAGATGTGGATTTACCCAGGAAGCACAGCTCCCTGTGCACCCCAACTAAAATGGACACATATAAAGAAGTGCAGATATTTTCACCTGCCTCTGTGATTTGCTAAAAAGATACTGTAATTCTGTTCCATATTCCTGAGTTAAAGCACTTTCATGTCTGTTTAGATTGCATTTTGGACCCTTGTTTTCATACTCTCTTGCCCTTCCATTTACAAGAAAATCATGGAAGACCTGGCTTCTGTTTTTGACAAAGCAGGTAATAAATACAATCGTGTCCTTCTGGAACCTAGAAATGGTTTATTTTGTGTTGGCCCAGCACACAGCACACTTGGTCAATGACTGGCAATAATGCATGTTGCTGCTAAGGGTACTACTGATACCATAGAGTCTGGCTCTGAGTTCTTTACTCAGCATAAGCTCAAGACACGTTTTTAAGCAAACCCACCTTTGATGTTAGCAAAAGAAGGTAGAAAAGGAACTATATGTATTTGTCTCTTCATTCCACACCTATCATTTAGTCCTAGATTTGTATCAATCAGTCTTGTGGTTTTTTGATGCATCTATGATAGAACCAGATGGGGTCTTTCAATTCAGCTGCTTTTCGTGATATGATGTTCACCAGAGTTACAGCTAAAACAGGCCAGGAACTGTTCTTTTTTCTCTCATCTGAGGCCAATTTGTCCAGCATGATTCACCCCTCTCCCATGACTAATCTCTTTCCCTTAAAAAACAGTCACCTACTGGGAGCAGTCATTCACACATGCAATCCCCTGATCCATGCTTAGACTTTCATGGAAGACTCTTAGTTGACATGGGTCAAAACCGTATCAGGCAACATGTTAATAATTTACCAATAAGGAAAATCACGAACCAGTGCTTGATCCTCTCTCCTGGCCCTGATCTATTTGCTAGTGTTAACATAGCCCAAGAGCTCAGCCACAGCTTCTTGTCTCGGTGCCTGCAGTCCCTGAGATCTCCATGCAGTGACCTATCAAAGTACTGAAATAGTCCAGGGACTCTTATTTCAAGATGACCTTTGTCTGGACTCTTCTGGACAATGCCATATTTACATCTACTTTAGAGTTATTCAGTTATCTTCAATGGCTTTTCTTAAATTGTACTGATTTTGGTCCATTTATTTACTTTGAAATATGAAGAAAATTTCTGGGTGTAAACAAGGTCTTGAGGTATTCAATCAAAAGTTCTAAAGCAAGATATGTCAGCATGTCTCAAAACAAGTATGAAAACTAATTTTTATACAGATTCTTCTTTCTCATGCCACAACAGGTAAAGATAAAATAGAAGTCTCTGAAGAGGACCTTAAGAAGCTCCCTTTTATTAAATGGTGCACTTTGGAAGCCATACGGCTGAGGTCTCCAGGTGCAATCACCAAGAAAGTAGTAAACCCGATAAGAATTCAGGTGAGGTTTGTTTTTATTTTTTCCAAAAATGATACTGTATGATTTGTCTGGAAAGGGGTCTCCCAATAGATCTCAATAAAATTAAAATAGTAGAGATATTCCACAATCTAATATATATATTCTGTTTAACAGATTTATTCATCATCATCATTAATTTAATTATCATTAATTTAAGAGTGCTTTTGCTTCTCTTGCTCACAGTCTTACCTGCAATTTTGAATTGATTTTAGCTTGAATTGAATTGGGCTGGAGATATTGTGCTGATGGTATATGAAAGAGTAATCAGACAAAACAAATATAATAGAAAAGACTGCAATTTAGTAACTGATAAAACTACTTCTTTTCTATTTGTCGTCTTCACTGCCATTCAGAAGGGAAGTGCCAGCATCCAGGAGCCTAACAAATACACGTTTGGGAGAAAAACACTCTCTTAAGGAATCAGCACTCATGCCTATTTAAGAAATTACTGGTCTCATAAAGGTCTACTATCATACAAGACTTTCTATGAATTTCTTCACATTGAAGGAAGTGCTTAACAAAAGATTTAGAAAAAAATACCAGCTCACATGGTACATAAAGAAGCAGGAAGGACAGAAATAATGTTTCTATTATTTCATTGCCTGAAAAAAAAAAAAAAAAAAGGAACAAAAATAGTCTTTCGCATTCACTGTTTAGGTCTTTCTTATGAAAACAAATGGCAACAGCAAGAAGAAGCTTCAAACATGTAATATGCCCACCATTGCTTTACCACCTTCACTTGCCCCGTTAGGACCTTCTGCTGATGGAAGAGAAGTACTAAGAGAGCCTTTTTTTGTGACCTGAACCCGTGTTTTTCTCTTTTCTTAGAGTTTTTTCTCCTTTTCAGAATTTCACCGTCCCTGCAGGTGACATGCTGATGTTGTCGCCATATTGGTTGCACAGGAATCCAAAATATTTTCCTGACCCAGATATGTTCAAACCTGTAAGTTGTCACTCTTAGTGTGGGTATTTTGCTGTCTTTTCTCCTCTTGACTTATTTCAGAACAAAAGCATATGGACAAATAGGCTTAAAGTTGGGGATTCCCCATCTTCTGGAGGATGGCCTTGTATACAGAGAAGATGTGCACAAAAAGAAGGAGCCTGTAGGAATAAGCAAGACTTTGAAGTTCACTTATATGTTCCAAATAATATGTTACTACTTTATATCACCTTGATCTTGATTCAAAGCTCGCTGTGGAAAAATCCCACTGATTGAACCCAACTTGCTTGACTAACCTGATCTCCTTCTATGATAAGGTGACCCACTTAGTGGATGAGGGAAAGGCTGTATAGATGCTGTCTACCTGGACTTTAGTAAAGCTTTTGACACTGTTTCCCACAGCATTCTCCTGGAGAAACTGGCTGCTTATGAGTTGGATGTGTGCACTATTTGCTGGGTGAAAAACTGGCTGGATGGCTGGGCCCAAAGAGTGGTGGTGAATGGAGTTAAATCCAGTTGGCGGCCGGTCACAAGTGGTGTTCCCCAGGGCTCAGTATCTGGACAAGGGGATTGAGTGCACCTTCAGTGAGTTTGCAGACAACACCAGCTTGGACAGGGGTGTTGATCTGCTTGAGAGGAGGAAGAGAGAGTAGTCCAGAAGCATCTGGACAGGCTGGATTGATGGGCTGAGGCCAACTGTATGACTCAACAAGGCTCAGTGCCTGGTCCTGCACTTGGGTCGCAACAACCCCATGCAACACTACAGGCTTGGGGAAGAATGGCTGGAAAGCTGCTCAGCGGAAAAGGACCTGGAGGTGTTGGTCGACAGCTGGCTGAATATGAGCCAGCAGCGTGCCCAGGTGGCCAAGAAGGCCAACAGCATCCTGGCTTGTATCAGACATAGTGTGGCGAGCAGGACTAGGGAAGTGATTGTCCCCCGGTGCTTGGCACTGGTGAGGCTGCAGCTCAAATACGGTGTTCAGTTTTGGACCCCTCACCACAAAAAAAGACATTGAGGTGCTGGAGCGTGTCCAGAGAAGGGCAATGAAGGCGCTGCAGGGTGTAGAGCACAAATCTTAAGAGGACGGCTGAGGGAAGTGAGGTTGTTCAGCCTGGAGAAAAGGAGGCTCAGGGGAGACCTTATCGCTCTCGACAGCTACCTGCAAGGAGGTTGTAGTGGGGTGAGTGTTGGTCTCTTCTCCCAAGTAACAAGTGATAGGACAAGAGGAAATGGCCTCAAGTGGTGCCAGGGAAGGTTTAGATTGGATATTGGGAAAAATTTCTTACCAAAAGGTTTGTCAAGCATTGGAACAGGCTGCCCAGGGAAGTGATTGAGTCACTCTCCCTGGAGAGATTTAAAAGATATGTAGATTCCGTGCTTAGGGACATGGTTTAGTGGTGGACTTGGCAGTGTGAGGTTAAGAGTTGGACTTGATGATCTTAAAGGTCTTTTCCAACCTAAATAATTCTAGGTTTCTATGATTCCAAGTACTCTCCTCTCCCTGTCATTTACATGTATAGCTCATCTCTCTGTGTTTACCCAGTTTCATTGGTCTTTCCAGTCAGATGATTTCTGGTAGGTATTAGCTCTGCTAATTCAGTAGTTCATCTAGGGTTTCTTGATTATTATTCCACTCCAGGTGGTTGCGTGGGCAGGCTTATAACTGCTCTTTTTAGCACCATCCAATATGGAACTTTTTAATAAATACATCTTTTTTATAGAAATACATCAAGGAGTAATTTAAACAAAACGTCCCTTCTAGCAAACTCTTCACCAATTTGAAATCCCTCATAACAATTCCTGCCTGTTTGAAATCCGAAGCAGAAACCCTGATGCAGCAGCTTATTTCTTTAGTAACTTTATTCCTAAAAGGCAAGCTGGCTTGTTTTTCAGAAACTCACCTTTATTCCATGAGGAATAGGTGAGTACCCCTTGAACACTGCCATTCCAAATGTATTGCTGTGCTTCATCACCACTGAGATTTTTTTTCTTGCTTTTATTGGATTTTGCTGCTAACAGGTTTCTTCTTCAGAAAGCTCTAAACAGCCCTTGCTGAAAAAAACCAAACCAAACCAAAAAAACCACAAGATTACGTCCTCTCTAAGACAGCTTCATCAGAGGAGTTAGCCACCATAAACTTGACAGAGTGTTACCCGAAGGCCTTGGTGGAGTTGCAGTGAGTTTCTGGAGGCTGGTATACTTTGTCACCCAGCATTCAAGAGTTTTACTTCTGTCAGTGTCACTCAACCCAAACTTTAGCCCCTCGTGTTGTTCTTCTTTTCTCTTAAAGCAACTCAGGATGGAGCAAGGAGCCCTGTGGGTACAGACAGGCTGTTTTTGTTGAGCAGAGTTCATTTTCTCACACACTGGCTTGCACCTGAGAATGGGGCTATGCAATCCTCGCCCGTCTCTCATGTGACAGCTGATATACCTTGCATTTGTGCGCACAACATCTTAGAAATGGTTTGTGTGCAAGATGTGCATGATCCATTTGTGTGCCGTGATACAGTTTTGTGGCTGAGGGGAGGTACTGGTTGAGCATTTGCTTGGAATGTCTGTGCATTTAAAAGGAGAAGGTTGCATTTTTATAGGCATTTCAATAGCTCAAGATGCAGAATTTTAAAAAATGGGGAGGTATAGGAAGAATGTTTTAGGGGTGGTTTTGAAAACCTCTCCAGCACTTTGAGACACCTAAGTATGTTTCAGATGGGACCCTCATTTCCTTCCCTGAGTCAGTGCTGAGTTTTGAATCCAGCCTCTAACACTAACAGGTTGAATATAAAAAAATGGCATTAGTGCAACTTTGTATCGAGGATTAGCTGTCCGAGATCATTTTTAGCCTGGAGAAATAAAGTTAAGCTTTATTTATATAAGGCTGATTTGGAAAAAAAAAGTTTCTTCCCACAGGATCGTTGGAAAGAGGCAAATTTAGAGAAGAATGCTTTCTTGGACAGCTTTGTGGCATTCGGAGGAGGGAAGCATCAGTGTCCAGGAAGGTCAGTGAAACAGCTGGGGTTTATTTATTCCCAAACCCTGCAGAGAACAACTCTCTTGAACTGGGCTCCTCTTACACTTGGAGATAAAGTGTTTTCATTGCTTTGCTCTTTGTCGGTCCCCTAATGTTCAGTATTATCTGGACCTTGTTTAAACTGAGTTGAAAGTGGTTTCATTCCTAGAAAAGACAGGTTAAGTCACAATGTAAAAGCAGAATCTGAGACTAGTATATCAAGGGATATCCCCCAGGGAGGAAAGTCAGATGAGCTCTGCTGCTGCTGAGGCAACTTTTCATCAGGGGAGAGTTGTTCCACTTACAAACATGCCAGTTTACAGACACAGGCATTTAGGTTGCCATAAACCAGTTCTAAACTAACTTAAAGAGCATTTCTCTGGTCTGAGACTCTTTTTCCATCCTCTGTGATGCCACTGACATCTCTGCTAATCTTCAGATGTCTTAACTGCCTCCTCTCTGTTTGAATCTTGTCTTTGCATTAAGGCCCACGCAATTGAATGATGGCTTAAATTGCAGATCCTGTCTGTCTTCACTCCTCCGGCAATGCCAGCCTCGATGCTTCCTGCATTCCTTCTGCTGTTTTCTCTGCTGTCCTTCTTCCTGGAACAAGTCCCAGGGAGCCAGCTGCTCCTTGTTTCTGTGTTCAAACATCTCTATGCTCAATTCTCTGCCTTCCAAACCTGGTCTCCTCTAAGAAGCAAGTAACCAAGAATTCTTAAAACTAGTCAATTCAACTTAAGAGTTCCATGTGGAGCAAGGAAGCTAGAAAGTGTTGCAGAGGATCTGCATTCTTGAATCTGCACCCTATAGCAGGCTGGACATGAGTGTCAGATGAACCCTGTGAAGGCATTAAAGATATAAACAAAATGATTAAAACTGCATTCACCATTCAGGCCTGCCCGAGGAAAGCGCTCACTCACTGCTGTACCTCCGTGGCCTGTCCCGCATTCCTGAGGTAAATATGAGCACAGCCTCATTCCCATCAAGGGTCAGAGCAGAATTCACAAGAAGTATCTGCAGGTACAGGACAAGTTGCAAAACAATGTTTCTGAAAGCTGCTTGTTTATATACACTGACCTATTTCTTTGTTCAGGCTGTTCTCTGGACTCCGATAATAACTGTAAAATAAGTTTGTGGTTAGAAAGAAAATTATAATATGGCTACTAAAAGAATGGATGGAGACTCTTTTTCTTGCTGACAGACAAAAAGTCCTTTCAAACCCTTTGGCAGTCTACACGGTAACAGACACCTTCACGCTTTTCAGCAATAATTCTAAAAGAATAATGTGGTGGTCTTTAAAGAAAGAAAATTAAATCAAGGCATGTGTCTAGATCCCAGGTTTCAGATTTCTTTGGTATGACTGAATGAAACATTGATATTTCAAGTTTAAGATGCATTTTCATTTAATTCAGTACTGGGATTTATAAATGAAATGTATTAAACATTTAATTTCTCTGTTGCAAAAGTTCATAATGAAATTAAAAGCCAATTTAATCAAACTGAAAGCTAGAAAATAACATACTCGACAAATATCCCAGCAAACTGATATGGGAAGAGTTCCCAAAAAGCCATTTCTGTGACATCTTTTTTACCGAGAGGAAACATTTGATGGCAGTGAAGCAACTTTTGTCTATCCAGGTGACTATTGCCTGTGTGACTGTGGTTATCCTGCATGGCTCTATCCGTGGTCTCCTATCTTATGCTGACATTGCAAACCCTTCAGGACAACAGCCGTGATTTCATTCTCAGACTCCATTTGCTGCAGGACCTCAATCCACAGCTGGGCTCCTGGGTTCCTGCACAGCACAAATACGTAGCAGTGCACTGGGGGCAAGATTCATCATTGTCAAACCCCCTTGTCACTAAATAAAACGGGAAGGCATCAGTGACTCAGAGGTTTTACAGAACTGCTCTAGGACTGTCATGAATATGAAAGACAGCTGGGAACTAAAGGGCTTTTAGTGGCAAAAAAGCTCCTGGTTTCTGCTCAGTACAATGTGCTGTGGGAGGGGCGGACGCACTGGGACTCTGCAGTCCTGCCTTTCACTCCTGGACTGACCCTCTGGCCACCCTCAGACATGTGCGTTGCTTACGGTCCTTGTGCCTCAGCATCTCTGTTTGCAGAGCAGAATAACAACAGCAGCCTGTTGGGAAAAGCAGTTTGAGATGTCCTGGTGGGAAGCGCTGCTGTCGGGTATCGGTTATATCCATTACTCTGCGGGGACGGAGCTGTCAGCGCGGGTCAGCCCCCACCCCACAGTGCTTGTGTTTGAAGGACAGCCCTCTGGAAATGCAGCATTTCCACTTTCAGGGCAACCTAGAGGCATTTGGGCCTTTGGTTGCATCCCAGTGCATCCGTGCCAAACCCGTGAGGACGGCTCAGCGGCACCCAGGGCCACACTGTGCGAACTTTGTGGTGACCATGGGGAGCCCGCCTTTGTACGGTGCTGCCAGTGTGGAGTTTGGGCTAGTAAATCCTGCCTGACCTGAGCCAATTTCCATTGAAATATCTCTGCACTGCACTCCCCCCAAGCTCAAGGTCACCGAAAGCTCCCTATCTTAAGGTAATTCCAATGCGATATGACAGAGATAATTCAGGTCTGAAGCTCTGCCAAAGCAAACAAGCATCCTCCCACTCCGGAGCACGGGGCAGCTCGGTGCAGGGATCTGGGTGGCTCTGCAGGAGTTAGCTTGGGTCTCGTGGGGCTTATTAGCGTCCTCTTCACACCTGCCAGGCCAAATCCAGGCTGACTCCATGGGCAGTCATGTGGCCTTCTCCCCGGGGAATTCCCCAAGACCTGTTTTATCCAAGTTTTCCAGCATCTCCCAGATAATGGAAAATAAACTGTGTAGAAGAGCAAGGAAGTATTACTATTTTAACGAGGCATTTAATACTTATGTCTAAATTCTGCAAGTGAGTAATCCCATGACGTGGCATAGGTGCACGCAGGTGCCTGAATGCAGAAAGCTCTTGTACATATTGACACTAAAAAATAATAGCCTAGAGGAGTTCACCTGCAGTTATCTGAAATCTTCTCCAGATTGACTAAGAAAGACCTTTCTTGAGAGTGTAACAGAAAAAAACTCATGTCCTTGGGTTTCATACTGCATTCTAATGCTGACGCATTAAATAATAACTCCCGCTGTCACAGCTACTCTGATGTCATCAGGCTCCCAGCTGCATTATATAACTTTATATAGCACAATTAGTCATATAGCCTTTTCTATATTTGACTGTCTTCTCACTCCTATGAAGTTATTTCAAATCAGCAAGAGTTAGAAGAACATAAATGTTTATACAGTGGAAAAAACCATAATGATAAGGGGCTGTTTTAAAATAGGGTGTCAGAGGGATACTGTCAGTCTGAAGTTTCACCGGAAAGAAGGGGCAGCCGCCGCATTTGTGTTCTGCGCTGAGTAATGAAGCTGAGCAAAGCTACAGCATATTTTCCTACTGAAGATAAACTTTCAGGCAGAACTAAAGCATGGAATGTAAAATGCGTCAAAGACACCCTCTTTCTTATCTGGTGATAACACACATGTGATGGTCAGCCTGAGCAGCCAATGTTTTCCTCCATTTTCTTGCAGGTGGTTTGCTATCATGGAAATCCAGTTGTTCGTTGTGCTATTTCTATACAAATACGAATTTGTGCTTTTGGATGCAGTACCAAAAGAGGTAAAAGATCCATGCATTTAGACAGCATTCCACATCTTTTTATCCTTCATTCATCACACTCAGCTGAACAACTATGCTCAACTGTGGTTATGCATAATGAAGCAAAATTTTGAGTGGGGTGTTAATAAAACATGTAATGAATAACTCGATCTTCCTTTTAACTCAGACAACCCAGAGTAACTCCAGCAAAGTTAGTGGGGCTGCACTGTCTTTACAAGAAAGCGCCTGCAAGAGTATTTTGTCTCATCATTGCCTAAACATTACAAGAGATTTTATAATTGCTTTCTGCCATTCACAAAAACAGTGAATATGGAACTGGATTGTTAATACTTTAAAGTTATGAAATCAGATGCAGCACTGACAGTGCTCTTCCACTACATATTCAGTGGTGGAAGATAAATGATTAGGGTAAGACTGAAGGAACAACTGTGACACAGCAAGGTTTTGCCATTAAGAGAGAGTGGTGCAGTCATGTCCTCCTCCGTTTGCACTGTGTCCTTTCTGCTTTCCAAAAATCATTGTTCCTCACAAACATGGACTGCTACTAAATGAGCACGTCTACCTGTCACAGCCTAAACGTGACACACTGCCCTATAGCTAAACTGCCAAGGAGAAGAGGGAGAACTTTAGAGTGGCATGGGCTTCATATGATTGCCTTTTAGACTGGGAATTGGAAGCCTGGAGAACCTAATTCCCCTGCTGTCCTTGAAGAATGTGAGATGTTGATCTCAAGTAGTGGGAGAAAGTCCACCCAGAACATGGAGGAAGGTTGCCTCTTCCTGACTGATGGTGTGTTGCCATGCCAGCTCTCACTGGAGTTGATTGTAACTTGGGTCTGCACCCACAGACAATTGCGCTGGTGGAGATACTAAAAACCATTAGAATTCCTTAAGATCTCACGTGTCATCCTCTGTCAGAGTGAGTGGAATAAAAAGTAATTACGAAGGCCCTGCTCAATGGCTTCAGCAAAGCCAAGAAATACTCTCAGTATTTGGTCTTGGTTCTCTAAGACCAAAGCTCCAAGAATATGTTTATATCTTAATAGTAGAGCATAATGATAATTCCATTAACTGAACTAACTTGAATGTTTCTACTGATTTTCTTATTTTCACAGAGCCCTTTACATTTGGTGGGGACACAGCAACCCATGGCACCATGCCGCGTCCAGTATAAATGCCGGGACTGAAAGCTGCCCAGCACTAACCTGCCTTCTTTTGCCAGCCACCCCTGGATGGATGGACCACTGAGCTGCTTTCCCTGTCCTACATTTTCAGATAGGTTCTCTGCCTTAACAGTTCTTAATTTCATCTTTAAATGCTGTCCATACTCTGCGTTGTGGTATGCCATACCAGCATAGTCCTATCTGTGCTCCTCATCTGATTGCCTGCCTCCTAGTATTTACAATTCGAGCTCTCCTGCTGCATTCATAATTTGTGGGCCAATTATTCACAGACTTTGCAGATCTGATGTACTAACCTCACCAACCAGACATTCAGGACAAAAAAGCTGCTATGTTTGGAAATCCTGCATGGAAGTTGTGTTAGAACCAGCGGAAAAGCAGGTCCCTTGGTCCAGGTCACTGTTTTCTGCAGGTCTCTTCAAACCAAGGCCAAAGTGCCACCTCGTGCTAAAAAAATCAGATCTGTAACTCCCGACAGCTCCCTGGAGCTGGTGTGCACAAAACGTGGGACAGTGCTGCGCAGAGACCTCCGGGTCAGATCCACAGGCACAATAAACTAGCATGACTTACGTATCACTGCCTGTGTAGGTAGGTGAAGATCTCGCCTGCTCTGCCTACAGTTGGTGCCATTTTCTTGCAAATAAAATCCATTTGTAACGGAAAAATTGCAAGCATGGGAAGCACTGGGGTCTTGTTCCACTGGAGCACCTAAAATTTCTACTGAGCTTTATTTGCTCCACAGGATTCAGAATCAGTCCTTGCATGAATATGCAATGAAAGCTTGATCATGATGTTTGACTTCTAATGAAAAGCGATTGCAAGAAAAGCTTTTGCTATTCATTAGACTGGTTGTCTAGTATCTAGAACATTTTTGCTTTCCCCTTAACACAACTTACTTAGAGAACAAATTGCACAAATTTAAAAATATTGAATCCTATAAAGAGTACCTAGTAAATGTTATTCAAAGAAGCTGTCAAATAAGTTTAGATACCAACACTTTAACTGCTGTCAGATTTCATATATGATAATAGTTGGCATGTATTTTTAGTCTTTTAAGTAAAGATTATTCATAATTTTAGAAGTATTTGCAAAAAAACCACAGTGGACTTTCAACAATAGTAAAAACTATGGCAATAACATGCATAGAAAAATAACACAATGTATAATTCATTAAATAGTTGTTTTACCTCAGTTATGGATACAACAATTTAACAAACTTTAATGATTTATATGGCTGGAAAATAATTCATCCAACTTCTAATTTAGCTCATAATGGTTAACTCTGCAAGAGTTGCACTCTTAACTGCTGCTGCAATATCTCTTCCATAATTTAAAATTATTCCATTGGTTTTCATGTGTGGTCACTACCCAAAAGTGCATATTTTAATTTTAAAATTTGGAAATGTCCACAATATCTGTTCAGGTATCTTGTGGTTTTGGAAAGATGTTTTTTTTCTCAATGTGCATTTCTTTTTATTTTTCTGTTTAATTAATTTTGGTGTTTGGTTTTGTGTATGTGGTTTTGTTTTCATTTTGGTTTTTGGTTTTTTGTTTGTTTGTTTGTTTTGTTTTTTCTCCAAGAGAGGTAACTCAGAAAAGCAGAATTCTGTAATGGCAAACTTGACATTAAAGTAAAAGGTCCGTAAAGGAAAGTATAACCTGATGGTCAGCATCAAGTTGGTTAGACTGAATAAAAGGCATCTGAAGCCACCTGTGAAGATTTACAAACGCACCACTGCACATGGGTTGTAATCTGTCCTAAACACAGTCACAGTCCTGATGCAGCTTCTGTGTATGGCTGAGTTTTTCAGACTTGCTGTGATCTTGTGCCCGCTGAGAACTACGTTCTTCTCCCTTCCACATCCTGCAAGAACAGCCTGTGAGCAGTTCGGGTACGTGATAAAAACTGCATTCCCCCCGTGCCATACACAGAGGAGCAGAGGAGCTAAAGCAGGCAGGGACCCTGAGCAATGTCCTGCCAGGGCTGGCCCCCGTCAGCAACAGCGGGAGCAGCTCCCACCTTCTGGGCTGAGGGGGAACACTGCCTGTGGGCACGGGACACCTTGTGGGATGCAGGAGAGGAGCAGCATCAGACTTCTTACGGGATATTTAGGGGAGGAACCAAAGGTGGGGAAAGGGAGGGATCAGAGTGGGTTGGGGAGGAAGAAATGTGGAAAACCAGAAGGATAAGGGGGTAAAAGAGGTCAGTTGGATGTACACAGGCTGTTGAGTGGTATGTGTGTCCGGCTGTGCCCTGTGCCTCATCATGCAGTCTGTCCTGTCTTCTCCTTACACTCTGGTTTTAACTTTTCCTGGGTGACGGTCCCTCCTGTGTATGCACGTGTGGGTATGGGGGGTGTGAGTGCAGCAACCGCAGTGGGACCACAGGTCGGAGGGCCTGTGGGGTCCATGGTGCCAGCAGCTGGAGGGAGCGTGGGTGTGCACACTGCGTGGGTGATCGCCCAGCCAGGCTGGCTGTCGAGTAGGTGCAGTGTGTGTCTCCCAGGGTGAGGCACCCGGAGGGGCTGGCTGCCGGAGGGACCGGGGGGTTCAGGCCAGCTGCCAGAGAGCCTGTGGAGCCTGGGGGGTTGGCTAAGAGCCACTTGTACATGTGTGTGTACACGTGTGTGTCTCTGGGCAGGAGGCGACTGGGGAGAGTGAGGATTCAGGACCAGCTACTAGAGGGATCTGTACTGTACATGTGTATTTTTACATATATTTCACGGTCACAGACTTTCACCCATATCTGCTAGAGAGGGAAGCAGGTCAAGGCCGTTGGTGCTGCCTGTGTGAGCACTGAGTGTTTCTGTCTGTGTGGCCAGCATGGCCACCAGTGCATACACACGTTGTACCAGTGCACACACACATTGTACCAGTGCATAGACACGTGCCAGTGCATACACACATTGTACCAGTGCATAGACACGTTGTACCAGTGCATACACACATTGTACCAGTGCATAGACACACTGTACCACTGCACACACATGTTGTATCAGCGCACACACACGTTGTACCAGTGCACACACACGTTGTACCAGTGCACACACACGTTGTACACTGGTGTTTGTGCATGTGCCTGCTGAGAATCCATGTGCAGCCTCGCTGCAGGCTGGACCCAGGGGTGTGGAGCTGCGGCAGCCTCGTCTCTGTCGGGCTGCTGGGTTTGGCAACTCCCTAGCAGGCTAGGATCAGTCATGAAAATATTTGGCCTGAGAGGCAGGACATATTTTTATTAAAGTGTAGGCTTTTGGCAGGAAAGAAGTACCTGTTCCTGACAGCCAGAGAGATACCAAACAAGCAGGTGAAGAAAAGTGGGTTTGACTCTGGGATCCTGTCACTGTGTGACTGCCCTGTAGTGGATGACAGCTCTGTGCACTTGCTATACTTTCCTAGGTAGAAAAAAACAAGGGAGGTGGATTAGTAAAGCAATGTGGTGGTCAAGTGATAGAGCTAAATGGGGTGTTCTACCTGGAAATAATTCAGAAGCTGCTGGGGGAGGGAAAGACAGTACTTTCCCACTGGGGCAGGGTTAAAGAGGTATTAAAAGGTCATCACGATACCCTACTCTGCAGTGGATCAGCAGTATCTACATTATTCTTCTTTAAGTATTTGTTCAGGCTTCTTTTAAATACAGCAATGCTGAATTTCCATGGGGGATTTGTCCTCTTACCTGACTCTCCCTACTGTTAGAAAGCTTTTCTATATATCAGTAGCATGAGTCAGAATTAAGTTTTATTCATACCACTAGCACAAGGGTGTATGAAGCAGGAGATTTTTAAGCTCACAAAGAAAAAAAAAAAAGTATTTTGACCTATCCTTATATTTCTACCTTCTGTATGAAGTATAGATGTTAAAGGGAATGCAGTGGGACATCCCTCAAAATAACATCTTAGATAATGCAATTGTTCTTCCTCCAGACATGCCATAGGCCAGATTATCTGAACAAAACCCACTGTTTGGGCTGGCCAGGACTGTATGTTGGTATTCATTTATATTGGGATAAGTAACTCCCATGTCTAAGCCAGTCAAACAAATGGTAGGAGTCTTCCTAACAAGAGAGATGTAATCTAGATTTATGAGCAATACAACGCTTTTAAATCAAATTTCCTTTAACAATTTTTAGATTTTAGTCTATATTAAAGAAGAGTTTCAGGAAAAAAAGCAGGGAAACTATCACATTGCAGCCAAACTTTTTTTTGATACTTTTGAGAAAAGCACAAACATTTCCCCTGAATTAACATATTTCCTGTGGAAATACAGTATTTGACAGAAAGCTCATCAAAACTTTCTGAGTTAAAATTGTTGACCTACTGCAAGTCAATCTTCTCCGGTCAGCATGGTGAAAAGATCACCCATCATATCAGCAGCCACCTCCCAGAATAATCACAACTTCTTTTATGTCTTCCCTCTAATGAGCCTCACTGAAGGCCCCTCTCATCTGTACTTAGCAGTCAAGTATTTCAAGTGGTCTCTTTCTTTACGCTGGTAATGGCATTCGGTATCTTTTTCGTGCCACTGATTGTCACAGAAACCAGAAGTTTAGGCGTAGCACGTATACCTCCTGAAAATAGATATCTGGGGACTAAAAGATACGGCTGTAGCCACTGAGAGGTAATCTAAAAATAATTACTTCCTTTCGAAACTAAATTAATGCTAAGGCCCTAGCTCTATGCTGTGCCTAAGCACTATGCCAAGCAAAACTCGACTTAAGCATGTGTTTTGCTTTAAGAAAACACTTAGAATGGATTTGCAGAATAAGAATGGATTTTAATTTAAGCACACGCTTAAGTGCTTTGCTGAACCAGGGTCCAGATGCCTCAGTCGCTAACCTGTTGTTTACAGTTAGTGTTGGCATCTGTGTTGTAATTTTAAAGATATACAAGGGTTAGTGGAAATACTGAGGTAGCTTTGCTCATTTTAGGTGAAACTGGCAAAAGTTAAGGGCTCTTAGGAGAAACATTTTTTTAAAAAAGATCACATTTATAGCATAAACTAGTAGGCTTTATTAGCAACAAACATCTTTCCCAGTTATTTGGTATATTCTAAATGCGTGGCTCATCACATGGCAAAAAATATTTCCTCTCCACCAGTATGC